AGCTCTCAATTCCCAACTGCCAATGAACACTACCCATTTTGGCACCCAATCATCAACCTTAAGTTCTAAATAGACGCATTATTAAAAAAAAAGTTTTCTAACATTCTATCAACATATCTCACGATACATCAAAAAGCCACCCCAAGATATAAGTACCTTCCAAGTCATAAAGACGAAGTAGGTTTACTATGACTTGGGAGCTGTTTCACTGATAACGCTGCTCCACCATATTAGAATTACACTGTACTTAAACACAATTAAAAAAACAGTGCCTGCTCCACAAAAAAAATTGCTCCATTTGCTGAATCCCTACCCTCTCTTATGCTTCCATAGCACTCAACACTCTCATTACTTTCAGTTTTTCAATGAAAGGTGTAGTCTGAAATGGCAACCCCAACACCCTGAAATTGTGATCACATCCCCTGAGAAAGAGACTCTTCCCCCACACCCCCAAGCCCCTTGAGAATCATCCCTTATGATAGGTCCTGAGTGCCTCTAATGTATTTAGTGCACAGAGCAACGACTCAGCCCTATTCGAGCTCCAGGTCCACCACTCAACTATCCCTGCAACTCAAGCTCTCCACCTCTCTGGTTCTTTACCAGCAAAACCAGCATAACCTGTATCCAGGGTAGCCCACAGAGATGCTGTGAGAATCAACAAACAACCTAACAAAAAGCAGCTTGGTAAACGTCCAGCACAGTATCCAAAGGGGCAGCACTACAGGTGGCTAAGCAACACATCTAGGTCTGAACCCCAATGTCTTTGTTAGGCCTCAGCTCCTTCCTCTGTAAAAAGGACATAACTGTCCACACTTTACAGGTTCAAAGGAGATCTGGCACCCAGACAGTAACTGTGGCACTGATTTATTTCTGTACCAACAATTTCTTTTTTTTTTTGTACCAATAATTTTAAGGGGGACTAATTCACTCCTACCTAGCCTTTCACTGTTACACACAGTGATTTTTAACAAGCCCACCAGGGTGGTGGCTGAGGATACTCAGGCACTGTACTCATTACAGAGTATCTAACAAGCAATTCAGCTTTCAATTCTGACTGTAAAACACGGTCACAGGAGGATCCATCTGAGAACCCCAAAAAGAAAGAAACAACCTAATCTTTGCAGACTAGTTTCTCTTTGCTAGCTATGAATAAAATCAAAGAGCAAAGTTAAAGTGAAGAGCCGAGGTGGAAGCATGCATTCAAATAATCCAGAAGCCCCTCTAAAGTTGAACTCAGTCTAATGTGCCTCAAAATATCCTTTTTTCAAGTATACAGTTTTTAAAGTACAGCAAACACTCAAATCATTGCAAAGTGGAAAACATGGTTTAAATAAAACATTTCAAATAAATAAATAAATAAATAGATAGATAGATAGATAGATAAATAAATAAATAAATAAAACATTTCCGGGCAGCCCGGGTGGCTAGGCGGTTTAGTGCCACCTTCAGCCCAGGGCCTGATCCTGGAGACCCCGGATTGAGTCCCACGTGGGGCTCCCTGCGTGGAGCCTGCTTCTCACTCTACACGTCTCTGCCTCTGTCTCTGCATCTCTCATGAATAAATAAAATCTTACATACATACATTTCCAATGACTGTGTTTAGACAGGTAGTACTGTGGAACCAGGTACAGCCTTGGGAGTCTAGATGGCCACCCCTAGACTCTGGGTCAATTTCCTTAACCCGAGGTTTCTCAATTGTTTATAAAAATTTTTTTCTCAGTTCTAAAACAGAGTTAACACAATGTTACCTCCCTGAGAATCTATACTAAATATATTTTCTTAATTTTTAAATAACCTCCATCTCCCAATTTTCTTTCAGCCACAAGATTAGTCTAGAAAAGGCTAAGTCACTGATTTTAAATATATGGTGCAATCTTTACTTAAAAGCGGGTGGGGGGTGGGGAATCCCTGGGTGGCTCAGTGGTTTAGCACCTGCCTTTGGCCCAGGGCGTGATCCTGGAGTCCTGGGATGGAGTCCAGCATCAGGCTCCCTGCATGGAGCCTGCTTCTCCCTCTGCCTGTGTCTCTGCCTCTATCTCTCTCTGTGTGTCTCTCATGAATAAATAAAATCTTAAAAAAAAAAAAAAAAAGCGGGTGGGGGGGGATGGACACATACCTAAACCTATTATAGTCCTCTAAAATGAATGCCTTTTCTCCCTTACTAAATATGCTTACTTCTGAATCAAATCAATCTTGATGGAAAATTTCTCATCAAAATAAAACAAATCCTCCTCCCACACCCAGAAAGGGAACTGAAAAATAAGCTTTCCTATCTGGGGTCCTCAATCAAGTTTGCTCATTGCCTTTTTGATTTACAGTACACTCCACTCCTGGTACAGAGAGGTCAGAAGAACTAAATTTTACCCTCAAATCCCATCCCTCAAAGGCTTTCAAGGTAAAAATCAATATTCCTTCGCCTGGAATTCACTGCCCACCAGCTGGCACCCAGTGTTTTAGCATTAAATGCTACAGCAGCATCAGTTTTTTACAAATATGCAAAGCATAGGGGATCCCTGGGTGGCGCAGCGGTTTGGCGCCTGCCTTTGGCCCAGGGCGCGATCCTGGAGACCCGGGATCGAATCCCACGTCGGGCTCCCAATGCATGGAGCCTGCTTCTCCCTCTGCCTGTGTCTTTGCCTGTCTCTCTCTCTCTCTCTCTGTGTGACTATCATAAATAAATAAAAATTAAAAAAAAATAAAAATAAAAAAAGCATCTCTCTTTAAAAAAAAAAAAAACAAATATGCAAAGCATATACCCAAATCCCTAGTCTTTGGGCACTCCCCTCCGTCCCTCCCCCATTTAACTTCTTTCATCCTTCCCCAACCAAAGATACAACTCCCTGCCCCTAGCAAGTTAGGTTGGAGGGAGAGTGGCCCTGCCAGGTAACTCCTTTTACTTCAATCACAGTGTAATTACCCTACTACTGAAACGTAAATTGCTTCCTCCTCTGGGCAAGAGCTTTATTCTAATGAGCTCGGTTTCTAGAGCTTCCTCATACCAAAACAAGGGAAGAAAAATTTAAAAAGAAAGGAAAAAACAAAAAAAAAAGTTTTCCACAGGCCCTACAAAATAGTTCTAAATGTTACTACTCCCCAAAATATCCACTATTAAGCAGTTCTAGACTCGGGGTTCTTTCCAACAAGGGTTATTTTATCTCTAAAGTCTTCAGGTTCTTCCTAATAGTCCACACGTTAAATCAACCACTCACAAAATGACTACTTGAAAATGAACAGTGGAAAATGGGAAATCTGAAAAATGTACCCCAGCTGCTATAATCTATAACTAAGCCATTAATCAAACCTCACCTAACAAGGTAAGGTTCTAGCAGCACTTCATCCTGTGACAAATGGTTTGAAAGAAAAAACAAAAACAAAAACACCAGAAATAAATGCATCTTAAAAGGCCCCCAAAAATCCTACTAGGCTCCCTAAAAGATGATAAAAAAAAAAAGTCCAAATGAGCACATCTCTTTCCAGTGTTCAACAGTAAAGTGTTGGGAATATACTTCCAGGATGCCTTCCTGTTGATTTCCCAGGACCAGCAACCATGGTATTTTGCTCCTCCTCACCTAAGGAGAGAAAGTTTTACAAAGCTGGTATTTAGTGAATGCTCTTTCACATAAAGCCTATTTAACTGCATTCACTTTCTATCTCCACAAACTCTAGTTATGCATATTAAGAATCTGTGGGAGGGCAAACTCAAACTAAGAGACAGAGACCCTATAACAGAGGTTAGTAATCAGAAGCTGGGAAAGGGAGAGAATAGGAAGTTCCTGTGTACGGGTTCCAGTTTGTAAGATGATAAAAGTTCTGGACGTGGACAAGGGAGGACAGCTGCACAATACTGTGAATGCGCTTAATGTCATTGAATCGCACTCAAAAAAACGATTAAAACTGTGAATCTAACGTATGTTACCATTAATTTATAAAAAAAAAAAAATTTGTAGGAAGCCCAATGTGTGCCCAGAATTCCCCTCTCCTCCCCGACAGCGTTGGTCGCAGCCACGCGCAGTCTCTCCGCGTCTTTCAGGTGCTGCCATCCGAAAGGGTGGGTTTCCCGGGGACACGAGATGACGTTTTAAGGCTTTAATTGAACTTGAGAATCCAAGGAGCCCGACAGAGCCCCAAGCTGGACTAGAAAAGGTGTCGAAGTTCGCAAGTCGGTGAGCCCGCCTAATGAGGGGAAGGAAATCTTCCTCGGGAACAAGGAAGAGGAGGTTTCTCTCCTCTCCACTCCACTCCACCCCACCCCACCCCACCCCCCGCCGGCCTTTGTTTGCTCGCTTCTAAGGGTGAACACTGAGCCGCAGATCCGAACTCTCTACAATTACCTACTGCGCACCTGGGAGGAGCGAGGGACGCCGCGAGGGACTCGAGCGGGGCCCAGAGCGCAGGGCTGGCGGCGGTTCCGACGAGGCTTCCCCGCAGGGCGGGGGAAGGGGGATAAGGAAGAGGAGGCGCCCCGAACCGGCCTCGCGATCGCTGCCGAAACCTACCCGCCGCGGCTGCTGCCGTTTACCGGGGCTCCCCGCGCGCCAAGTCCTGCGCGCGCACTCCCTCCCCTCCCCCCACTTTACGGATCGGGAAACTGAGACCCTAGGCGATGGGGGCGGGGGGCGCTTGTGAAACCACTCAACCCAAGGTCACCCGACCGGCCAGCGGGCCGCCGACTCGGCGACTCCCCGGCTCCCGGGCCCGCGCCACCATCCCCGTGCACAGGGGCCCGGCCTCAGGCCTCGGCGTCGGGCTCGGCCTGCGGGGGCCTGCGGGGGCCGGCGGGGGAGGTCCGCGGCCTGGAAGGAGGAGGCGACCCTGGAGGCGCTCACGAGGCCGCCCGGCTTCACTCCTCGCGGCCTCGGCCGCCCGCACCCGCGGCAGGCCCGGCGGGGAAGGCCCGGGCCTCGGCCGCGCCGGTGGGAGGCCGCCAACAGAACTAACGGAGCCGCCGCCGGCCGCCGCGAAGGTGCCCGGCCCGGGACGAGGAGCCTTGGAGTACTCACCCCTTCGGGCCCGGAGCCCCGTTGCCGCTTGGCACGCCGGGCGCGCCGCTCTCCTCCTCCATTTTGGTCTCCGTCGTCGCCACCTCGGCCGCCGCTTCGACCCCTGCCGCCATTTTCTCCGCGTCTGGGCTTTGTGTGAGGGAGCGGGATGCGAGGCGCTGCGCCTGCGCGCTCACGTGACTCGGCGCGACCAGTAACGCCTGCGCGCGCCGCCGCCCGCTCCCGCCTCGTCCCCCTCCGGCCACGGGCCACGCCCCTGCTCCGGGGCACGCCCCCGCCGCGCGCATGCGCACACCGGCAGCTGTTATTCATTCATTACCGTATCGGATTTGCGTTAGGCACCGACTGGATACTCTACCCCGCACCCCCCCACCCCCCCACCCCCGGCCCCGCTCTCTAAGTCGGGGAGGGGAGGCACCTCCCCACCTCCTGACGCGGAGCTGCTCACTCCCAGCTTCCTGTAGTCAGAGCTGGCGCAGACAGGCAGCAGAAGTTTTGTTTACTAGAATATAAAGGAGGAGGGTAGGACTCAGGCCGGGCCAGGCAGGACTGCTGTGCAAAATGCTCTCTCCCTGAGCGAGTATCATCATGCACCAAGGACACCTGGGCTCTGTCTGGCCTGTCTCCCCACGGGTTGGGAGCTCCTGGGTGCAGAGCTCACAGCCTAAGTCCCTCCCACTGAACCTGCTAACCAACAGCTGGAACATGTAGCTGGGGACTCACGGATGTTTCTTGAGTGAATGAACAAGCAAGAATCCCAACATGATAGAAGAAATGAGTCACAAGGCCAGGAGAGCCCATTAACCTTACCTGGGGTCCCCTTGCTGCCTGCCCCTGGATCCCTTTGTCCTGAAGACTTGGCCCTGTCCAAAAACAGGTTTTCAAGGGCTGTTATAGTTTGTGTCTTGGGGCAACCACGTTGGCCTGGAAGGTGCCAAAGCTGAGGAAAGTGTTTAGAGGCTTCAAGCTCCCTTTCCCCACAGCACCACCACCACCACCCACCACCACCCCCACTTCAATATCTCCCATACCTTGAAATGCTTCACTAGATCTTGCAGAAGTTCCCACCCAAACATCGAACTCTCTCTATGCTTATAAAGGGGAAGTTTTCTTTACCCCCCTCTCACGGAATGGCTATATATCATCAAGTTCTGGGGGTAATAGCTCATCTGCCACACCCTCCCAGCTGCTTGATTTGGCCTGGTGATTCTGATCCTGGCTGAGAATTCCAGGTCCAGAGAGGAAATCCAGTAGCCCAGCCTGACACGGAGACTAGGCCCCATTCCCATGTATTCCTCAAACTTACCCATCTCCTAGAATTCCCTTCTATCAACCATCTTCAAGGCCTTCCTCCTACTACTCCACTTCTGCTCTACTAAAATCCCCTGTACATGCCAGCTCTTCTCCCGGGGCTGCACTGGTATCTAGGCTTGCCTTCCTCTCCCTTAGACCCCTCCTAGACTGGAGGGATCTCTGGGGGCAGAAGGAGCCTCACTGACCTCTGAATTCCCTTGCTCAGGAAGGCTCAGAGATGATGGAAGAGGCCACGCCAGTCTTGGCATGAGGGAGATGAGTCCAAATGCAAAACAGCAGAGACAAGAAGCCACCTGTCTCTCCAAGACAGTCCCTTCAAGAGTGACTGTGACCGGAAATCAGGGACAAGGCAGGCCCTGGTTGAGGAGACAAAGTCTTCCAGGCTAGGTTCCTGTGGGCTGATTGCCTTAACACTGCCCACATTCCTGGGTTTTGCCATCTCCCAAACTATGATTTTCACCACACTGTCCTTTAATTGACACACTTTTTTTTCCTTTAAAGAAATATGTTTTTATATTTTGCTTTACATCACAGTACATTTTGGAAACTTGCTATAGCTTACTGTAAAAAATAAGAGGATGATGCTATTAAAGTGGAAATCCAATTGTGTTGCAGTGCCAACAGCTCTGAGCCTAAGACTTGCTCTCTCTTGGGATCCCTGGGTGGTGCAGCGGCTTGGCGCCTGCCTTTGGCCCAGGGCGCGATCCTGGAGACCCGGGATCGAATCCCACGTCGGGCTCCCGGTGCATGGAGCCTGCTTCTCCCTCTGCCTATGTCTCTGCCTCTCTCTCTGTGTGACTATCATAAATAAATAAAAATTAAAAAAAAAAGACTTGCTCTCTCTTTTGCTAGGGTTAAGGGGCACTAAAGACTGCCTCACACCAACCTACAACTTTCTCCTCACTGTAATTAAAAGTGTTAGAAGAGGGCCTCGGTTAAGTGTCCAGTTCCAGGTTTCAGCTCAGGTCATGATCTCAGGGTCCTGGGATCGAGTCCCACATCAGGCTCCCCACAAGGAGCCTGCTTCTCCCTCTGCCTGTGTCTCTGCCTCTCTGTGTGTGTCTCTCGTGAATAAATAAAATCTTTTAAAAAGTAAAAAAAAAAAAATGTTAAAAGAGATTTGCAGAGGAAAAACCTTTCTCTTTTCATGATGGCACATCCCGGGGCCTCTACAATGTCGCCAGGGATACATTCCAAAGTTGGCCCCAGAGAGAAAGGTGCCAGGTCTGTGTAGCATAAAAAGCCACAGAGGGTAAGAAGGGCCCTGAACACCAGCCGAGCTGAGGCCCCTGGGTATGATCTTGTTCTGCAGACCACCAGAAGCCTACAGAGACCTGCTCATCTTCTCAGCTGCCTCTCTCCTGCCCCTCTGCCCCTTGGTCACGGGGCTCCAAGCATGGTTCATCTGCCATGCTGCTCCTCCCACTGGCCGCATGGGTCCCAGACTCCAGGCCTTGGCTCTCAGCTGTCCCTCCACCCCCGTGGCCAGGCTGGCTTCCCCTTGTTCTTCATCCAGGGCAGAAAGGCGTTTTCTCTCTCTCTAGGTGAGCCACATACCAGATGGGCATCCATGCAGAAAAGAAGAGAACATACTAGACACTGTGCTAGGCCCACTGGAGATGGGCCTAGCATCCCCCACTGTTCTGAGCCTCTGTTTGCTCATCTGCAATCGGATTAACAAGAGAACCCCAGAGGCCCTCTTTTGGATCTGCTCTGAGTAGTGACTGTGGCCCAGTGCAGGGGACCCTCACATGCACAAAGCTCAGAAGGAGCTCAAGAAATAGATGCTGTTGCTAGAATGACCATATTCTGCTTCTTTTCCTGAGGCCTCCTGGAAGGGGACAGAGCTCAGTACTGAGGCCATGTGGATTGGGGGTCAACCCAAAACTGCTTCCTAGAGACAAAGGCTTCCCTGTTCTAAGCCTCAGTCTCCTCTGTAAAATGGAGCTAACAGCCCTTCCTGTGACTGAGGATGGACAGAGGGAGGACACCTGTGAAGGCTCAGAACTAGGTAATCCTCAATAAGGAGGGACATTAGTGATTAGGAGGGCGGAGGGCCCAGCAGGATAGCTGGCCCACTCCAGGTGCAAAGTAAATGGAAACCGTTCTTCTTTCGTGTGTTTACTTGAAATCGTTTATTATATTGCCCTGCTACCTGCTCTTTGCTCGAAAACTCGGGCTTTGCTTCTTCCTGTCTTGTGCCACAGGTCCCTCAAAACCAGCTGAGGGTTGGGTGGTTGTTGTTTTGTTTTTTTTTAACTTGACTCCCGTCAGGTCTCAGGTGCCTCACTCTGAGGCCTCGGTTCAGAAATGTAACTAACAAGTCCGTTTGGTCCAGCAAGGGCTCCTTTTATTCATTCGGGGTGGGTTTTTGAAACGCAGTGCAACTTTATAAAGTCAAGGGTGCCAGGAAAGCGAGCCTGCCAGGTGCAGAGAAGCGCAAGAAGCTTGCAGAACCTCCCAGCCCCATGGGCGCCCTGGTTCACCTATGGCCGTGGCTGCTGGCCCCCAGGGGCCGGGTGGACCTCAGAACGAGATCAGGGTGCCTGCTCTGTCCAAAGCTCAGGACCATGTCCATCTGTCCTCGTGTACAACAGTGTGCAAAACAAGTGGAAAATATCTTCACATGGGAATCACAGAATCAGCTCCGCTTGGTGTCTCTTTGCCTAAAAAGCATTCTGGCCGTGCAGGAAGGGTCGGGCAGTTTTGTCCTTCCAAATACCAGGGCGTCGCCAGGTGCCTCTGGCCCTGCTGGGCTGGCCTTCACACGGGGGTCTCCTCTGCCACCTTCTTCAGGAGTCCAGCTGCCAGGGAGGAGTGCTGGGTGCCCTCAGAGCCATCTGCATCCCGGATCTTCAGGCGTACTTTCTGGTTGGTCCTTCTCCACTCGGAGTACAGCTGGCAGTGGTAGCGGAAGGAGACCTGCAGGGCAGCATGGGGTGGGTGGGAAGACTAGCCGGCTGGTCTCTACCCCCTCAGGAGGGAACCTGAGCCCATGTGGCACCTGTTGTGGCCCAAACCCAGGCCAGGCTCATGCCTCCAGAAGCAGAGGGTGTTCAGACATTTCTCACACAGACCATGTACATACACCCATTCACTCTCCCAGGAAAGCCGCCCACCAGCACTCGGGACCCTGCAGAGTGAAGGAGTCTGCAGCAGGGAGCAAGGAGCTCCCTTTCTGTTTCTCTCAGGATGGGACTGAAATGCTACAGCCTCTTGGAAGGGATTCACTGTCAGCAGGCTAGAGACTTGCCAAAACTCAGAAGCCACCATGAAGATGTCCTTCAGTAGGTGAGTGGACAAACTGTGGGACATCCAGACAAGGGAACAGTACTTGTCACTAAAAAAGAAATGAGCTCTCCAGCCATGAAAAGACATGGAAGGACATCCAATGCATGTTACTAAGTGAAAGGACCCAGTCTGAAAGGCTACAAACTGTAGGGTTCCAACTCCCTGACATGCAGTAAAGATGAAACTATGAAGACAGACAATACAAGGATCACTGGTGCCAGGGATTGGGGGGAGGCAGGGATGAACAGAGCACAGAGGATTCTTAGGGCAGTGGAACTACTCTGTGTGACACCACAATGCTGGATATGTTCATTATCTATCTGTCCAAACCCCCTAGAACGTACAGCACCAAGTGTGGACCCCAGTGTAAGCCAGGGGCTTGGGATGATAATAATGTGTCAATGTAAAATGTCTATTGTAACAAAGGCGCCCCTCTTGTGCCACGTTGCTAATGGAGGAGGCTGGGTATGGGGAGGATATCCTGAGAGCTCTCTTTATCTTCTGTTCAATTTTGCTCTGAGCCTGAAACTGCCCTAATAAACTCTATAAAAACAATTTGGTGGCGGAGGGAACACCTGGGTGGCTCAGCGGTTGAGCATCTGCTTTTGGCTCAGGGCATGACCCCGGGGTCCCAGGATTAAGTCCCACATCAGGCTCCCCACAGGGAGCCTGCTTCTCCTTTTGCCTATGTCTCTGCCTCTCTGTCATGAATAAATAAAATCCTTAAAAAAATTTTTTTAATCAATGTCAATGGTCCATAGTCTTTGATCAAACACGTTCCAAGAAGCATTTGCACAGGTGGTACTCAAAGCACTGTTTGTAACAGGGGGAAAAAAAAGGAAGAAAGGAAGGAAGGAGAAGAAAAGCCACATTGGAAAGAATCCCAGTGCCCATCAAAAGGGATTAGTTAAATAAATATGGTACATCCAGACCATGAATGACTGTTGGGTGGCTGCCTTTTTCTTTAAAGGACATTAGCAGAGTGAAAGCAAACAGACTACGAAGCAGTACCTATGGTTTTATGCTGTTTGCATTAAAAAAAAAAAAAAACACTAGTGGATGCCAATACTTTCTGAGGAGAGAACATTCTCGTACCTAGACAACAGGGATTATACCTAAGAGGTGAGGCTGGGGGTGCTCCTCTCTGGGCGAGGGTTCCAATGGCTGCCAGAAGCCTGAACCACACCCGCCAGTTGGGCCCCAGTCAATCCCAGAGGCCTTCCCTCTCCATCTCTTCAGCTTCCTGTCTCTCTTATCCTCCTGCTGCTTCTCTCCCAGTCTTCTCGTCTCTTTCTCTTCCTCCCGCCCTCCCACCCTCCCTCTCCCTGATCCCAGTTGGTCTTGCTGGGCTTGTGGATGGCAGACAGACTCTACACTCAACTCCGCCAACAGGTACCCTCGTATCCTGGGAGCCAAGGCTCACACCTGACTGATGGTTTCCCCGGACCCTGGTTGGGCTCAGAATCCGGAGCTCCATGAGATGCCGAGAATTGCTTCCACCCGGGCAGAGGCAGAGGCAGGCAGGGAGGCCCCCAAGCCTTTGCCCAAACCCCTGGCCTGCCTGCTCTGAACCAGAGACCCCCAGATGCCTCCAGCTGGCAGCCACTCACCAGCGTCCAGAGGACGTAGATGGTGAACAGGGCAATGGTGAGTGCGATGAGCCCCACAGCCTCAAGCCGGCTGTGGAGCCGAAGGTGGTCCTGGGCCCCGCGCAGGCACAGCCAGCCCGAGATGGCAGCCAGTGGCGTGATGAACAGGAAGCATACCATGTCACAGCACAGCGTCCGCTTCTCTGTCCGAGGCCCCGGGTCCTTCAGCCACTGCGGGGTGAGGGGAGGAACTGCTGAGGTGGGCTTCATACCTCCCTCCCATGAGCCCGGGGCCTGGGGATGGGGTGCAGAACCACCAGGCCTGGCACCTCCGTCCACAGATGCCCATCTTGATTGGAGGGCCCTGCAGGACCAGCCTCCTGCCAGCCACCCCCTCTGTCCTTTCCTTTCTTCATATACTTATTGAGCCTACAATGAGCTCACAGGCCCCACTAAGTGCCCCCATTGTACAGATGGGGGAAACCGAGGGCACAGACTGACTCATTTGTGCAAACTCACACTAGTCATCTGCAGAGCCAGAACTGGAACCCAGGGGGTCTTGCCACAGGGCCTGTGGGTCCGTGGCTGCTGTGTTACGCTGCCCACCACAGACGAAGGGGCAAGAGAAATGGGCAGAAAAGAACAGAAGAACATCCCTCCCATGCTAGGGCAAGAGGGATGAAATGGGGTGGATGGTCAGGGAGGGGATGGCCTCGCTGGGCAGGTGACAGTGACCTGAACCGAATGAGCAGAAGCAGCCACGTGAAGAACGGGGAAGGCTGCACCCCATGCTGCAGAACAGCATATGTGGGGCCCTGATATGGCATGTGGTCGGACAAGGTACAGCAGCGGGGGAGGCCCATGCAGCTGGAGGGTGAGGGGTGCAGGCAGGGGCTGCCTCTCCCACCTTCTGTTCTCCTAAAAGCCCAGGCTCCAGGGCAGCCCTGGTGGCTCAGCGGTTTAGCGCCGCCTTCAGCCCAGGGCATGATCCTGAGACCCAGGATCGATTCCCAGGTCAGGCTCCCTGTATGGAGCCTGCTTCTCCCTCTGCCTGTGTCTCTGCCTCTCTCTCTCTCCTCTCTGTGTATTCTCATGAATAAATAAATAAAATCTTAAAAAAAAAAAAAAAGCCCAGGCTCCAGGCAGGACAGGGGCCTTTCCAGAAGCTTGCCCACCTCTCCACCCAGCGACATCACTGGGGAGCCCTTGGCTGGCCCCTTTGAAGCCAAGCCTGGGGGAGTCTGGAGGGCATCCATGCTGCCAGCAGTGCTTGGGGAACAGTGTGGTAGCCACCACGCCTGGGAATGCTCATCTCAGTCCTGACCCATCATGCTCAGACTAAAGTCTAAGCTCCTGGGCACAGCCCACAAAGCCCAGAACAGCTGCCACCGCCTCCTCTGGGTCACCCTCTTCCTCCTGTAACTCGCTCCACCCCAGCAACCCAGGCTTCATCAAGAATACCAAACTCTTCCTGGCCTCAGGGCCTTTGCACTTATTGTGCTCTTCCCCAGGTTGGGGCCCTTGTGGCATTGCCAGCTCCTCGTTTTTCAGGTCTTGGCTTCAGGGGTGACCAGACGGGGAGGGGGCACCAGGTCTGTCAGGTGTGGGTCCCCAACCCCATCAGCAGAATCTTCCATGGGGGGAAGCAGGAGGTCTGCCCTAGAGAGTGAAAACTCCGCCTCCAGCCCCAGCCTGCCTCCCCTCCGCCCACTCCAAGCCCAGGCTCCCAAGCATACCTCTGTGAGGGGCCGGGGCCGCTTCTCCACTGCAAACTCCGTGTGGCACAGCTCACAGTAGCTGGTGTTGGATGAGGAAAGCCACCTCTCCAGACAGCTCTGGTGCACGGCACCCAGTGTGCCCGTGCAGCCACATGGAGAAAGCAAGCTCTCCCCATTTGCTCCCTCATGGCAGATCCGACAGAAAGGACCGTCGCTAGACACAGAGATAGGGCACATGAGTGACCATCCAGCCTCCTGCCTGTGCCCACTTCATAAGCTCTGCGCTGCCCCTAGGCTGCCACTTGGCAGACTCCTACTCATCCTTCAATGCCCAGCTCCAAACATCCTTTCCTTTGTAAAGCTTTCCCAAATTCCCAAAAGTAGAGCAACGTGCCCTCTCCCCAGGGTTCCTGTGGCACATCTTTGAGGCCCAGGCGAGCATCTCTTATACCCGTCACCCATCCAGCATCCACTCCTCCCTTTCCTGCAATATCCCCTCATTGTCCTGGGCAACCAACCCACTCTCAACTCTTGGTCCCCGAGGCCTGGAGCAGCGCTCTCAGCAGCCCTGATGACCTCAGGCTGGACCGAACACCACCCACCCCTGGTCACTGGGACTGATTCAGGGAAAGGCGTGTGTGAAGCAATCAGAGTACCTGGGAATTAATTCCTGAAATTCTCTCTCTCTCTTTTTTTTTTTTTTCCTGTTTGTTTGCCCCTAAACTCCAGAACGAGAACTATATCAGCAAGGCTGATGTAAGTCTGGAGCTGCTGGCAGCAGTCTGGTCCCCACATGGAGTCTGTGAATGGTGCCAAACAGAGAAAAGCAGGGCCAAGCAACAGGGAAAGACAAATTCTCAAGGACATCATCAAAGGCTCTGGATCTAGCCACACCTGAAGGCCATGCTACCTGAGAAGCCTGTGCATCCAGGGAGAGTAGGTCCCCTGCTCCTGTGTTCTAGTTAGGCTCAGAAGACAGACACAACAAGCATCCACAGGAAGCCACTTCAGGGAAGTCTCAGCCCCAGCCTGATCTCTGGGGATACCGGGTCCTTCCTGGGGCAGCTCAGGGCTGTGAGAGGTGTGGCCTTGGTGGGTGCAGAGGCTGTCCAGCAGATGAGTCATTGTTTTCCAGACATTTCTGCCTAGAGAATAGACTGCAGGAACACACGAAGGAGGTGGAGCAGGAGGGCTGTTTCCCAGATAACACCAATTTCCCTTCTGAAACGGTTCTCTATCCTCTCCTCAGTGTCCCCTGCTGTGGGGCAGAGCCTGGCTGCTTTGAAGCCAAAACCATGAGCGGATCCCTCATGGCTACTTTCTCCTCAATCCTGTGCCGGGGATGCTGCTGGCCCCTGCGATGTCAAAAGGCTGCACCCGGCTCCACCCTGATCCCACACTGCCCCTGCCCAGAGTTAACAGGAAAGGAATCCCTGCTCTGAAAGCCGATCCCAGGAAGTGCAAGGGATGAGAACCTTGAGGAAGAGCCATGTCAGTCTGGGGCCTGTCCCAGGGAACCCTACTTGAGAGTAAACAAAACAAAAGCAAACCTGATTTCTTACTGAGCACTTACTATGGACCATGCACTATTCTGAGTGCAGCACAGAATCTGTTATTCTCACACGGAACCTGTAAAGAAGGTGCTATTTTGCTCTCCTTTTACAGATGGAGAAACTGAGGCACCAAGGGGTGGGGGACCCCATTTGTGTGAACTCACATAGCTAGTAGCCCGTGAAGCTGGGATGTGAGCCCAGGACATCTTGCTCCAGGGCCCATGTCCCCTGAGTGGCTATGCTACACTGCCTGTTCCACATGGCAAGACAAGAGTAGTGGGCCTCGCTCATGAAATCCTGGCAGGAAAGTAACACAAATGACACAGAGGAGGAGGAAATGGGCTAGGAAGTGGGGGATCCTCAGGGCGGCTGCCCAGGGCACACTCCAAGGGCAGAGAGAAGGGAGAGTGTGAACCAGGAAGCAGAAAGAAGCCATGTGGAAGAGGCAGCAGGGGAAGGCCACGAGGAAGGGCCGGGGGTGCAGCAATGCTCTGGGAAGCTTTGAGAAGGGCCTGGGCTTGTTCATCGCCTGGTGGGCAGAACGCCAAAGGCTCAAGAGGATGAGAATCCTCTGGACAAACAGCAGCCTTCTCTCTGGGAGGGTGGCTCTGCCCTGGTCCTCAGCCTGGGCAGGTTTGGGATGAGCTATATCAAAAATCAGAGGGGAGGGGTACCTGGGTGGCTCAGTCAGTGGAGCCTGTGACTCTTGATATCAGAGTCATGAGTTTGAGCCCACGTTGGGTAGAGGGCTGAGCCACGCCTGGGTGGCTCAGCGGTTGAGCATCTGCCTTTGGCTCAGGGTGTGATCCTAGAGTCCCAGGATCAGTTCCCACATTGGGCTCCCTGCATGGAGCCTGCTTCTCTCTCTGCCTGTGTCTCTCCCTCTCTCTCTGTGTGTCTCTCATGAATAAATAAATAAAAATCTTTAATTAAAAAAAAAAATCAGGGCAGCCCCAGTGGCACAGTGGTTTAGCGCCGCCTACAGCCTGAGGCGTGGTCCTGGAGACCCTGGATCGAGTCCCACAATCAGGCTCCCTGCATGGAGCCTGCTTCTCCCTCTGCCTGTGTCTCTGTCTCTCTCCCTCTCCGTGTGTGTCTCTCATTAATAAACAAATAAAATCTTAAAAAAAAAAGAGGTGAATTAAAAAAAAAATCAGGGGATCGCTGGGTGGCCCAGTGGTTTGGCGCCTGCCTTTGGCCCAGGGCATGATCCTGGAGTCCCGGGATCGAGTCCCACGTTGGGCTCCCAGCGTGGAGCCTGCTTCTCCCTCCTCCTGTGTCTCTGCCTCTCTCTCTCTATGTCTATCATAAATAAATAAATCTTCAAAAAAAAATCAGAGGGGAGAAGCCATGAACAAAGAAGCCAAGGGGCAGATCAAGAGGGCTATGGTCTCATGGGCATGGCTGTCCTGACCACATCAAAGTCACAAAGGGACTTTCTGCTCCCTCCGGGGATGGCAAGACAGGCTGGTGGGACTAAAGGAGCTTCTCCCCTTCTAACCCAAGCAGGAGCTCTGGTTTCAAGCATCAGCAATGTTCAGGGACCCTGGCTGGTGTCCGCCCCACTCTGGGCCTTGGTTCCCCCACGTCAGGAGGGAGACTGAGGCAAAGTGCAGTCAGCTCTGGGACACCTGGGTGGCTCAGCGGTTGAGCATCTGCCTTTGGCTCAAGGTGTGATCCCGGGGTCCAGGGATCGAGTTTTCCATATCTGAGTGCAGCACAGAATATATATATATATCTTGCCACAATAAAAAAAAAAACTGGAAAAAAACTTATAAATTAAATCTGGGTAAATAAACCTAATGACAATGTGGAAAACTTAAAAAATTAAAAAGAAAAGGGTATCACTTAAGAGTTTTGTTCCCGGGGATCCCTGAGTGGCGCAGCGGTTTGGCGCCTGCCTTTGGCCCAGGGCGCGATCCTGGAGACCTGGGATCGAATCCCACGTCGGGCTCCTGGTGCATGGAGCCTGTTTCTCCCTCTGCCTGTGTCTCTGCCTCTCTCTCTGTGTGTCTCTCATGAATAAATAAAATCTTTAAAAAAAAAAAAAAAGAGTTTTGTTCCCTTAGCCAAGCTGGTGGCTGTTTTAAATCTAAATCAGTTAAAATGGAAAAAAAAAAGGGGAAAGTTAATGCAAATTTGCATGCGGTTTACTTAAAATTCCTTTCCTTGAGCGCCTGGGGGACTCAGTCAGTTAAGTGTCTGCCTTCTGCTTAGGTCATGATCCCAGAGTCCTGGGATTGAACCCCGCATCAGGCTCCCTGCTCAGTGGGGAGCCTGCTTCTCCCTCTCCCTCTGTATGCTCTCTCTCTCTCTCTCTCTCTCTCTCTCTCTCAAACAAATAAAATTTTTAAAACAAAACTCTTTTCCTTGAAAACAATGACAAATAGGGTACCTTGGTGGTTCAGTGGTTAACATCTGCCTTTGGCTCAGGTCGTGATCACATCGGCTCCCCGAAGGGCACTTGCTTATCTCTCTGCCTATGTCTCTGCCTCTCTCTCTGTGTCTCTCATGAATAAATAAATAAAATCTTGAATGAATGAAAGGAAGGAAGGAAGGAAGGAAGGAAGGAAGGAAGGAAGGAAGGAAGGAAGAAAGAAATGATAAATTGGCAAACCAGGCAAGGGCAGCGTCTGGATGGCTGGCACCAAGTCTTAAATATTTTATCAAATGCACATAGGGTGAGGGACGCCTGGGTGGCTCAGCAGTTGAGCATCTGCCTTTGGCTCAGGGCGTGATCCTGGAGTCCCGGGATCACGTCCCACATCGGGCTCCCTGCATAGAGCCTGCTTCTCCCTCTGCCTGTGTCTCTGACTCTCTGTGTCTCTCATGAATAAATAAATAAAATCTTTAAAAAAATGCACATAGGGTGGCAAACCCGAGGGCAGACACCATATGTGGACTAAGGCAAGGTACTCTCAGAACAGTGTAATGAGGAAGGTGTCCCCATCTCTGAGAGACGAGGGTAAAGTAACTTGTCACAGGTCACAGAGGCAGGATTTGAGCCCAGGGGCTGTGAATCCACAGCCTGCACTACAAACCACTTCCTTATAATGCCTCTCCAAAATACGAGCTACTGCCCACCACCTAATCTTCAGATTTCACCTGCCAATCTGGAATTTCCGCTTTCCTGAAGAACCAGACCTGACCAGCCAGGGCCTCTGTTTCTGCCCGGCAGGTATGATCAGGGCTCCTTTCTCGGGTTTATTTGCCCACCTGGTCCCTCTAGATGATTGGATTGCTGACCAATCACTTGGCCCCGAGACAAAAGTGAGCGAAGGCAAAGACACCTGCTTGGTCGCCACTCACCTTGACGTGTCCAAGGCTCGGATGACAGTTGAGAGGAGCCGGCCATCCCTTGAAGTCACCTGTGCCACGTACTGGGGTGGCCCGAGGCCAGTGGCCTCTACGACCTTGGAGAAGGCAGGGCTGCCAGAGCAGTCACACAGGGAGCCAGGGAGGTGACAGCAGTCACCGGTCGTCATGGCCACAAGGAGCCCAGTGTCCTCAGGGCCTGAGGCCCATGGTCCCAGGAGCCTGGGGAGAGACCAGCAGGGATTAAAGGCAAGATTATCGAGCCAAACACCCACCAGGGTATCAATCCAGCTGAGACTTGTTTGCCCAGTCTGTAAAATGGGGCTCTGTAGGGAACTGTGGGGGATTCAATGAGATGTCACCTGGAACTCAGCCCAGGGCTGGTGCACAGTAGGGGCTTGGTTATATTATCTCTAATGCTCCTGAGAGAGGTCAGCGAGGTCCAGCTCTCAAGGCTTGTAGGCCACCCCCAACATCACCTCTCTAGACACGGTAAGGGGCCCAAACAGTTACTGAGTGCCTGCTGTGTGGCAGGCCCTGTGCTTGGGGCTTCCCTGGGCTAGAACCATGCCCGCCAGCCACGTAGACGCTTGTTCTCCGTGGGCTGGATTTCTGGGGCTGGGATCAGAACATGTGAACCTGCCTTTGATTCAGATAGACCTGAGCTAGAAACCTGGCCAAACAGACCAGGATGGGGCATCACCTGATACCTCCTTGTCATCTCAGGCCATCAGGAAAATGGCTGAGGCTGGGGAGGACTCCTCCTGGATTAGCTGCTCCAAGCCAGGCCTGGGTCCTCAAGGAGAAGCAGTAGCAGTTGGCTGAAGACTTAGGCAGCCATCTCAAGTCTGCTCCAGGTCAGGGGGCTTCAGCAGTATTGTTCCCCCATCCTAGGGTCCGCCTCGCCAAAGGAGTCTTTGGCAGCTTTCAGCCCCATCCCAGAAGGAGCCAGTGAGACTTTGTGTGTTTCCCCTGAGAATTTCCTGGAAGTAACAGGCAATACAGGAAACCTGGTGCTTAGGGCCCCTGGGCTGAAGTCGTCTTATCCCCAGGCCTCTGTCGCTAGGAGCTCTGGTCCAGAGACACCACAAATACTCAGGCCAAGTCACACCCCCTAGTCAGCTTTTTGCCCAACCCCTGCCGGCCAAAGCTGAGCCCCAAGAGAGCCAGGGAAAAGCCAGCCTAAGTGATTGACTAACTCGTTTGCACCAAGGCCACCTGCCAATAGATCAGCACCCCCACAACGGCTGAGCCAGAAGCCCTCCTCCTGGCCCACTGTGCCCTTCTGAGCCTCCAGAGTTGGGCCTCGGCCAGCCAGATACGCAAATATCAGCCCAGAGGCAGAAGGAGCAGGGAGGAAGACTGCATGGCCCAGATAACATCCTCAGGGCAGTGTCGGGGGTTGTATATGCTGCTGTCCCTCCCGAGTGCCTACAACCAGAACTTCCGGCTCAACAAGGAAGGTCAACAAGGAAGCCTCTGGACTCTCCAAGAAAATGCACACAGAAGGGAATCCATTCTTCCCACCCCTCTAAGCATCGGCCTTAACATTCCTGCAAGTAATCGAGCACTGTAAAAATCATCACAGCTCCTGTATATTGAGTTTTGCCATTTCTGTTACTAGGGGAGGGGTCGGGGACTCCTCAGATCTGCTGATGCAAGGCCTGAAAATCACCAGGACTATGACAGCAGCTACAGCTCATTAAGGACCCACCACACGCTGGGTACTGAGAAGTGCACTGAACTCTAAACAGTTTCCATAAGTGTCCCCTTCAAAGATCACCTCCCTGGAGAGGTCTTCTCTGGCCACCCCGGCCAAAGTACCACTGGTGTCCACATTACTGCGCTCATGGTATGTGCCCCTCCCTGGAGAGCTGTTATTACTTCCCCTTCAGTGAGCTCTGGGAAGGAGGGACCGGGTGGGACATGCACTCCACTGTCCCTGGTACCTGCCCTGTGTTGGGCACAGAGTTGCCACATTAATCTCTCAGCTCCAACTCTGTGTAAGAGCAAGGGGTGGGGGGAAGAACCCTCCTGACTCCCATACCTTGGTCGGCCAGGGCCCGTGGTGGGAATCAGAGATGTCTAGAGGCTAGAGGTTTGTGCAAACCACAGGGGCCTGGGCTTGGAAGGGGCCAAACTCAAGGCCAGACTCAGTTCTGGGGCTGCTGGGCTGGGAGGGTGAGCCAATGCCTCAAGCAAACTTGGCCCAGTGCCTGGGGGACTAGATATCACAGAGTCCTCACAACAAATCTATGACATACGTCCAATAATTACCCTTGTCTGACAGGTAGGGAGACTGGGGCTCCGAGAGGGGCAGCTACTCGCTCAAGATCACACAGCTAAGAAGGAACAGTACCAAGATTTGAACTTAGTCCAGTGACTGGGTCTGGGACTCAAAAGACCTGGGTTCTTTTAAGTCTTGACTCTGTCACTGATTCTGTGTGTCCTGGGACAAGCCACTTTGCATCTCTGGGCCTCGTCCTTCTCTTTTGTCAAATAAGTTGATGGAGCTGGTGGACTGTGTCTGCTGAAGGGCTTCTTGAGAAAGAACCTCCAGCTTCCAGCAAAGCTTGTCCTTATCTAACCCCCCACCCCTTCCTGGGCCAATGCAACCTGCCCAGTCCCCTTTTCCTGAAGGCAAGAAACTAAACAAAGAGGAGTCAGAGGGCCCTAATGGTGTGGGATCTGGGCAAACTGCTTCACTCTCCGGGCCTCAGTTTTCTCGTCTGTAAAATGGAGGCCATAACAATACCCACCTCATCACCTATAATTATTAGGAAGTCAGTGAAAACTAGCTCTTCTTAGGACTACGATCATCAGCTTTACAGAGCTGCTGGAGAGTTTGGTGCCCCGCACCTAGTAAGTGCTCAGTAAATGCCATTGTTTTTAGAAGAAATGCGGAGCCTGTGAAATGCATTCATTCCTCTCCACTCACCAGAGAGAGGACACACACTCACCTGTGTGTCCTTCAGTCCTTGCATGGCCCTGCATTGGAGGAGGGCAGGCTAGAGCCCCGCTCTGCTCTCCTTGGCTGTATGGCCCCAAGGGAAGAGACTTCTCTGAGCCTCAATTTCTTCATCCGCACAACAGGGAACATTTCTAGTACCTTCCACCTATTATGATCCCTAGAGGATTAAATGAGCTAATCCTATAAATTCTGGAGCACCCACTAACAGCCAGGCACTCGGCTGAGCAAGTCCTCTGCAGACAGTGCCTGGGGTCATTGTAATGGGTACAATGGGTATGTTCCAGGCAGAGCTGCACGGGGAAGGAGGATGACAGCCTACTGTGCGCAGGGGTCTTTCCCCGTCCGCCGCCTTCTGAATTCTCCCAACGAGCCCCCTTACGCTGGCGCTGGGGTGACCCGGTTTCACAGACCGGGAAAGCGAGGCTCGGAGAGGCACCTACTGTGTGCGGGGCCTCGGGAGCCTCCCGCCGGCCTCAAGACGGGAAGTGCGATCCCCCCGCTCCGGGGCAGGCTGAGGCCGAGGGTCTGAGGCTGACCGTCCCGCCGGGGAGCCGGGCGCGGGCCTCGAACCCGGGGCCGGCCCGCGGACCCGCTCCCCCGCACCCCGCCCGCCCGCCTGTGCCTACCTGACCCGCGGCCGGGCCGGGCGGCCGCGCAGGCCCCTCCACTAGCCCCGGCCCCGGTCCCGGCCCGGCCGGTCCCGTCAGCGCCGCTAGCTCCGCTCCGGCCGGCACCTGCGTCCGGACACCGCCCGCCGAGCCGACGGGGCCACGGCCCAATGGCAACCGCCTCTCGCCCACGCCAGCCAATCCCCGCGCACGTCCCGCCCTGGGAGGCGGGGCCAGAGGCGACGGGGACGTCCTGGGCCGCACAGGCCCCGCGGCGCCGCAGCTGCTGGCTCCGCCCCCGCCGCGTCCTGGCTCCGCCCCCAGCCCCGGCTCCGCCCCCAGCCCTGACCCCGCCCCCTCCCGGCGGGGGACACGAGCGGGGTTGGCGGCGCCACCTGCCGGCGACCAGCGCTAGCTCCTAAATAAAACCGTTACAGCTTTGAACGTGACACCCGCAAAAGGATTTACAAGTGTGCATCACCTCCCTTAGGCTTCTCCTTAATCCTGGGAGGGAGACAGAGAGGAACCGTATGAGCACACTTTACAGAGGGAAAACAGCAGCCTAGAGAGGTTAGGGGGCCATGGAAGAGCCTAAAGGCAATGTCATTTATTCATCATTCACTTACTCATGTCACGGTTTCCTTCACCAGGTGTAATAAACATCAATAAGAGGGCCTGTTATGAGGCAGGCACTGTCCTAGGCTCTGGAGACACCAGGTTGGGTGAGACATATATTGTTGCCTTCGTGGATCTTTATTTAGGGAGTTAAGCAATTGTGTAATTAATTATTAATTACAAAAGTAATAAATTGTAGCAAGTGAGAGGGGGGGCATATTGTGGTATAATTTGGAAAGTCCAAAAATACTTCCTCGAGGGAGAAGCAATTGAGTTGATTACTAAGACAGAGCAGAAGTGAATGAAGAGAAAAGAGGGGAGAAGAATCCCAGGCAGAGAATTCAGGCACATGCAAAGATCCTGAGGTAGGATGGAGAGGTGCCTCAGTACTCCTTTCCCCTCCTGCCGTGCCTTTATGGAATATATAGAGCAGTTTGATTACCTCCGTTACATTCTGTTGTGTTGTACTAACTTTATTTTTCAAAAGTGAAAAGAGAAATCATGGGCAGCCTGGGTGGCTCAGCGGTTTAGCACTGCCTTCGGCCTGGGGCGAGATCCTGGAGACCAGGGCTCCAGTCCAGCGACAGGCTTCCTGCGTGGAGCCTGCTTCTCCCTCTGCCTCTCTCTGTGTGTCTCTTGTGAATAAATAAATATTTTTTTAAAAAAAAGAAAAGAGAAATAAGATTGTTTAAAAGGTTAAAGGGAAGAAATAGGACGAAGGGGAAAGAGATACAAGTCAGACTTTTATTTTTTGATTTTTTTAAAGATTTCTATTTATTTATTCATGACAGACACAAAGAAAAGCAGAGACATAAGCAGAGGAAGAAGCAGGAGAAGCAGGCTCCCTGCCAGGAGCCCGATGTGGGAATCGATCCCGGATCCTGGGATCATGCCTTGGGTCAAGGACAGACGCTCATTCACTGAGCCACCCAGGCATCCTTGAAGGTTTATTTATTCATAAGAGACACAGAGAGGCAGAGACACAGGCAGAGGGAGAAGCAGGTTCCCTGTGAGGAACCTGATGCGGAACTCGATCCCAGGACCCTGGGATCACGACCTGAGCCAAAGGCAGATGCTCAACCACTGGGCCATCCAGGTGCCCCCATGTTAGCCTTTTTATTTTTTATTTTTTTTAATTTTTATTTATTTATGATAGTCAGAGAGAGAGAGAGAGAGAGAGAGAGAGAGAGAGAGAGGCAGAGACACAGGCAGAGGGAGAAGCAGGCTCCATGCACCGGGAGCCCGATGTGGGATTCGATCCCGGGTCTCCAGGATCGCGCCCCGGGCCAAAGGCAGGCGCCAAACCACTGCGCCACCCAGGGATCCCATTTTTTTTTAATTTTTATTTATTTATGATCATGTTAGCCTTTTTAAAACATACTTTGGGGCAGCCCGGGTGCATGTAGCGCTGCCTTTGGCCCAGGGCATGATCCTGGGGACCAGGAGTCGAGTCCCATGTCGGGCTTCCTGCATGGAGCCTGTTTCTCCCTCTGACTGTGTCTCTGCCTCTCTCTCTCTCTGTCTCTCGTGAATAAATAAATAAAATCTTTTAAAAAAATAAAATAATAGGGCAGCCCCGGTGGCACAGAGGTTTAGCGCCGCCTGCAGCTCAAGGAGTGATCCTGGAGACCCTGGATGGAGTCCCACGTCAGGCTCTCTGCATGGAGCCTGCTTCTCCCTCTGTCTCTGCCTCTCATTCTCTCTGTGTCTCCATGAATAAATAAATAAAAAATCTTAAAAAAATAAAAGAATAAAATACACTTTGTGGGATGCCTGGGTGGCTCAGTGGTTGAGCGCCTGCCTTTGGCCCAGGGATCCTGGAGCCCTGGGATCCAGTCCCACATTGGGCTCCCTGCATGGAGCCTGCTTCTCTGCCTGCGTCTCTGCCTCTCTCTGTGTGTCTCTCATGAATAAACAAATAGAATATTTGAAAAACACATTTTTTATATATTTGGCTTTACAACCATGTAAATATCGTATATAATCATAAAACAAAAATTAAAATGTAAAGGTAGCTCTAAAAATGAAAATAAAACAAAGGAACTTCTGTATCCAGTTGGTAACAATAAAGAGATGAACACCTAGGGACCTTATTTATTTTTAAAGATTTTATTTATTCATGAGAGACACAGAGAAAGAGAGAGGCAAAGACACAGGCAGAGGGAGAAGCAGACTCCACGCAGGGAGCCCGATGTGGGACTCGATCCCAGGTCTCCAGGATCATGCCCTGGGCTGAAGGCGGCGCTAAACCACTGAGCCACCCGGGCTGCCCAGCCACCTAGGGACTTTAAAATACAACAATTTGACTCAATATACCACTTTTATAGTGTTGATGGTGACGTTGCAGTGGTGATTGTGAGCCTGTTGCATATTTCGTATGGGATAAAGCAAAAGCAAGGAAGTACTTACATTGATTTCAAGGGGATTTCCAGAGGGAGGGAAGGAGGTACAGATATAAGGTTGATTATGTTAATAAAAACCCTGTAGCCTTGAGTTTGAATGAGGAGCATCACAATATATTTTTATAAAAAGTAAAGATTTCCTAGCCCTGTCCATTGAAAAGATCTGAAACAGAGACTGATTTTGTTGCAATCAGCGCTCCTTAAGCCCAGATCATAGTCTCTAAATATCATTTCCGATTGAATGAACCAAGGAACATTGGGGAATGTTCTGAGTCTGGGGCAGGAAATGTACAGGATGAACCTGGCACAGTCTGATGTACCAGAAAGCACAGACGTTATCAAAGACGTTACCCAGTAAGGTAGTGTCAGTGGGAGTCAAGGAGAAGCTCTCACCGCCACAAGTGGGATAATTTGCCCTTCAGTAAGGACAAGGATTGCAGTAGATTAAAACACATCAAACATTTAAATCCATTTACAGGGGGCTGGGGACCCCTGGCTGGATCAGTCGGTAGAGCATGAGAATCTTGATCTCAGGTTTGTAAGTTCAAGACCTATGTTGGATATAGAGATTATGTAAAAAAAATAAAATCTTAAAAAAAATCCATTTACCGAGGTTTTAAAAATTCTTATCTTTGGGGCCCCTGGGTGGCTCAGTCAGTTAAGCATCTGCCTCTGGATCAGGTTGGGATCCGAGAGTCCTGGGATCAAGCCTTGCATGAGGCTCCCTGCTCAATAGGAAGCCTGATTCTCCCTCCCTTCCCCGCTTGTGTTCTCTGTCTCTATCCTGTCTCCCTCTCAAATAAATACATACATAAAATATTTTTTAAAATTCTTATCTTAAAATAATGTTGGGGCACTTGGCTGACTCAGTTGGTAGACCATGTCACTCTTGATCTCGGGGTCGTGAGTTCAAGCCCCACATTGGACAGGGTTTGCTTTTTAAAAAAAATGTCAAATTTACATAAAAGTTGCAGAAGTGACACACAGAGCTGCCATAGACCCTGTGCCCAGATTCCCCAGTTATTAACATTTCTAAACCCTTTATTTTTATTTTAAAAATTTGGGGGGACACCTGGGTGGCTGAGCAGTTTAGTGCCTCCCTTTGGCCCAGGGCTTGATCCTGGGATCCCGGTATTGAGTCCCACATCGGGCTCCCTACATAGAGCCTGCTTCTCCCTCTGTTTCTTTGCCCCCCACCCTGTGTCTCTCATGAATAAATAAAATCTTAAAAAGAAAATAAAAATAAAAATAAATTTTAATCTGGGATGCCTGGGTGACTCAGCAGTTAAGCATCTGCCTTCAGTTCAGGGCATGATCCCAGGTCCAGGATCAAGTCCCACATCAGGCTCCCTGCAGAGAGCCTGCTTCTCCCTCTGCCTGTGTCTCTGCCTCTCTCTGTGTCTCTTATGAATAAATAAAATCTTTGAAAAAAAATTTTAATCTTTAAGTAGGGTCCACACCCAATGTAGGGCTCGAGTTCACAACCCTAAGACCAAGAGTCGCAAGCCCTATATGGACTGAGCCAGCCAGGTACCCTGAATCCTTTATTTATTTATTTTATAAAGATTTATTTATTCATCAAAGACACACAGAGAGAGGCAGAGACACAGGCAGAGGGAGAAGCAGGCTCCCCATGGGGAGCCTGATGCAGGACTCGATCCTGGGTCTGGGGATCACACCCTGAGCCTAAGGCAGACAGACATTCAACAGCTGAGTCCCCAGGCGTCCCTATTTTTTTTTTAATTTTCCTTTTTCTTGAGCTTATTTTTTTTAGTACTCTCATACGCCCAGCGTGGGGCTTGAACTCACACCTGCGAAATCAAGAGCTGCATGCTCTGCCAACTGAGCCAGCCAGGTGCCCCTTTAGTGTATACTTCTTTTTTTTTTCCAGTGTTTATTTCTCAAATATAAGCATTCTCTTCCACATATTCACAGTACCACCTTCAAAATCCGCAGGTAAATATTGATCCAATATTACCATGTAATTCCTAAATCTTAAAGTTTCCAATAAAGTCCTTTAAAGCTCCAGCATTCATTCCAGAACACACTTTGTGTGTGTGTGTGTGTGTGTATATATATATATATATACACTATATATATATTTTTATAGATTTATAAAATATTTTATAAAAATTATTTATTTATATGTATTTATTTATATGTATTTTAAAGATTTTATTTATTCCTGAGAGACACACAGAGAGAGGGGCAGAGACACAGGCAGAGGGAGAAGCAAGCTCCCTGAGGGGAGCCCAATGTGGGACTCGATCCCGGGACCCTGGGGTCATGACCTGACCCAAAGGCAGATGCTCAACCACTGAGCCTCACAGATGTTCCCTTTGTATATTTTTCTATTCCCAGTGTCATGTATGCTGCAATATTTATTTAATCTTTACTCGTCTTTCATGACCTTGATACTTTGGAAGAGCATGAGCTAGTTATTTTGTGGAAAGTTCCTCAATTTGTGTGTCTCTAATGTTTTGTCAGGATTTATGTGTTTGGAACGGGAACTGCAGAAGCAATAAAGTGTTCTCGGTGCCTATGTCGGGAAGCAGAGAATGCTGATTTCTTCCATCACTCCCTAGACCAGCCTGGTTAAAATGATGCTATGGTTATATGACCATATGATAATATGGTTAAAATTATTTGAAATTAATTAAATATCTAGTTCCTCAACAAACCTTCAACCACTACATATATTAACCATTGATGACACTTGACTGGATCAATTTTTTTTTATTTTGTTGTTGTTATTTCAGACAAATAGGGTTTTGTTTTTACTTATGAGAATACTAGAGGAGGCTGGCTGCTGGCATTGGTTTGATGAAACAATGACTCTGAGAGTCTCTTGGCCTTTTCTCATGGTGGCGAGATGGCTGCTGCAGTTCCAGGTATCACATCCTCAATCGAGGCAGGGAGAAGGGAGTGGCATGGAGGTGTTAGCCAGGCCTGCCTTTTATCAGATAATGGTTGCCAAATAATGATTTTTCTGAATGTGCTAGCTCCCCAAAATGTTCCAAGGTGGCTTTTTCTTGTATTTTTACCTGTCCCAGCTCTGGAAGCAACCATTTCTCCAAGGAGCCCCGGTTTTAATGGGGAACGATATTTAAAAACCAATATCTGGGTCCCAGGTGTCCTGACAGCTACCGTGGTATCAATTCTTACTTTTCTCATTGTCATATGTATGTATGTATGTATGTACCTATTTATAGATATTTATCTACCTGTGTGTCTATCACCTACCCGTCCATCCATCATCCATCCATCTTTAAAACCATGAGTGTACACCAATAGCCATAATTCTTTTTTTTAATAGCCCTAATTCTAATCCAACACCAAAATTTACTCCAGACACTTCATGTGTTTCTAACCTTCCTTCTCTGACTCCCAGGATCCCAAATACATTTACTCATTTTTCTGCTTCCCCGACCCCTGCCATGTGAACCCTAACTCCTAGATACACTGATCAAGACTCAGCCCCAGACATATACATCCTACTCAATTCCATACCCATTGAGCACACTGATTGGAAGCTTGGCTCCCCAAAAAGGAGTTAAATTCATGCATTTTAAGTAAAAAAATAATCAGTCACTTTTGAAGGCTTCTTGGAAATCAACTCCAAATCCTGAAAATTAGGAAATTCGGACATTGACAAGAAAGGGAAAAAATTAAGTATTTATGCTGACCTTTACAATCTGTACCTCAGGGTAAGCACATAGATGAAGGGAAATTTCTCTTTATTCCAGAAATAAATGCAGGAGGCCAGATTTTGAATACAACCGTTTTGTAACCACTAATGGATTGTGAATCTAGGTGATGCTTTGCAGCAGCTACAAAGCATCACAAATAAGAGACACGCTGCCACCATCTGCCTCCCGGTATGTGCACACATCACCTACAAAGCGCTCAGCCCTAAATATGACCAACCTCTAGATCTAACTATTCATTTACAGGAAATGCAGGGGACAAAAGCACATGGTGAATAACACCATAGGTCCATAAAGATAAAATGCAGATTGGTGGTTGCCAGCGACAGGGGAAGGGGAAATGGGCAGTAACTTTAATGGGTACGGGGGTTTCTTTTTGGAGTGGTGATAAAAATCCCTAATTATAGTGTGGTGTTTGCACAACCCTATGCATGTCCTAGAAACCACTAGATATACATTTTAAAATGACTAAAATGGCGAATTTTATGTTCTGTGAATTTTATCTCAGATTTTTAAAAAGCAAAAAGGGAGAGACCATAGGGATGCCATTGGCAAAATGCTGACGCAACTACAACACAGATGACCCCTCCCTCCCTCCCTCTCCCCCTTCCTTCTTTCATTTTTACCTATTTATTTTTTTAAAAGATTTTATTTATTTATTCATGAGACACACACACACACAGAGGCAGAGACACAGGCAGAGGGAGAAGTAGGGTCCACGCAGGGAGCCTGATGTGGGACTCGATCCTGGGATTCCAGGATCATGCCCTGGGCCAAAGAAAGGGGCTAAACCACTGAGCCACCCAGGGGTCCCCCTTCTTTCATTTTTAGAGAGGGAGAGGGTAGAGGCAGAGAGAGAGAATCTCAAGCAGGCTCCATGCTGAGAGTGGAGCCCAACATGGGGCTGGATCTCACGACCCCGAGATCATGACCTGAGCCAAAACCAAGAGTCAGATGCTTAACTTACTGAGCCATCTAGGTGCCCCACAAATGATCCATTTCTTTAAACAGAAAGAGGGGGGCAAGAAAAATAAGAGATAAAAGAAGAATCTATAGGGACTAAGGAGACACATGAACCAACTGGAACAGGGTTTGGATACTGATTCAAACAAATCATTAGAAAATTTCAAGATTAAAAAAAAAAAAAGGGGGATCCTTGGGTGGCGCAGCGGTTTGGCGCCTGCCTTTGGCCCAGGGCGCGATCCTGGGGACCCGGGATCGAGTCCCACGTCGGGCTCCCGGTGCATGGAGCCTGCTTCTCCCTCTGCCTGTGTCTCTGCCTCTCTCTCTCTCTCTGTGACTATCATAAATAAATTTTTAAAAAAAAAAAAAGAAAGAAAATTTAAAGATAATCAGCACTTAGGGTACCTGGGTGGCTCAGTGGTTGTGTCTGCCTTCAGCTCAGGTCGTGATCCTGGGGTCCTGAGATCGAGGCCTGCATCGGGATCCCTGCAGGGAGCTCTGCTTCCCCTCTGCCTATGTCTCTGCCTCTCACTCTCTCTCTGTGTCTCTCATGAATAAATAAATAAAATATTTTTTAAAAAAGGATAATCAGGGGATCCCTGGGTGGCGCAGCGGTTTGGCGCCTGCCTTTGGCCCAGGGCGCGATCCTGGAGACCCGGGATCGAATCCCATGTCGGGCTCCCGGTGCATGGGGCCTGCTTCTCCCTCTGCCTGTGTCTCTGCCTCTCTCTCTCTCTCTGTGACTATCATAAAAAAATAAATAAATAAATAAATAAATAAATAATAAATAAATAATAAATAAAAAAGGATAATCAGTGCTTAGATATTTGATGATATTAAGAAATTACTACTCATCTCTTTAGGCATAATAGTATTGAGGTTGTGTTATCAAAATAAGTCTTTGTATTTTAGAGATATATACTGAAACATTTGGGGGGGAAGATGTCTAGGATTTGCACACAGGAAAGAATGGGGTGAAACCAGATTGGCTGAAGTCGGGTGGTGGGCATATGGGAGTTCATTAGACTATGCTCTCCACTTTTTTTAAATTATTTTATTTATGCATGAGAGACACACAGAGAGAGGCAGAGACATAGGCAGAGGGACAAGCAGGCTCCCTGTGGGGAGCCCATTGCAGGACAGGATCCCAGGACCCTGGGAACATGCTCTGAGCCTAAGGCAGACGCTCAACCACTGAGCCACCCAACCATTCCTCTCCACTGTTAAATAACATAATTTATTTAGGTTAACACAGTGCCTTGAAAAATTAATCACAGAATTACCATATGACCCAGCAATTCCATTTCTGGCTATCTACCCAAAAGAATTGAAAGCTGGGACCTGCTCACATATCATACACCCGTGTTCACAGCAGTGTTATCCACAATGGCCAACGAGTGGAAGCAACCCAAGTGTCCATCGATGGATGAATGGATAAACAAGAAGTGGGATATCCATACAACGGACTATTATTCAGCTTTTTATTAGGAAATTCTAACACCTGCTACAACATGGATGAACCTTGGAAGACATTATACTAAGTAAAATAAGCCAGTCACAAAAGAACAAATACCGTATGATTCCATTTACAGGAAGTTCCTAAGAGGAGTCAAATTCACAGACAGGAAGCAGACGGTGGGAGCCAGGGGCTGGGGAGTCAGCGTTTCATGGGGACAGGGTCTCGGTTGTGCAAGATGAAGGGTTCTGGAGGTGGATGGTGGGGATGGCTGCTTAATGCTGAATGTACTTAATGCCCCTGAGCTGTGCACTGGAAAATAGTCAAGACGGCCAATCTGATGTTGTGTATTTTACCATTAAAGAAAAAAAAAAGGCTTAAGAGCAGTGCCTGGCACTGAGCGAACATGCTGGGATTAATTTACTGAAATCAGAGTAACCGAAATAGCAACACTGGACTGTGACCCCCGAGGGGACAGTGTTGTCAGTCTTGTTCCCTGGTATGAGCCTTGGACCTGACCAGTCCACAGAGGCTCAGATTTGATCCTTGGGCTACCCAAAACCCTCCAGGGTGCCTCATTACTTCACTCGGCCTGCCTGAGGATGCTGCCCACCTCTGCCCTCCCCACGCCCACTAGCCCAAATCCAGATTCAGCACCCCCAGGGTCTGGGCAAATGGCTCCTGGAGTGTATGTGGCCCCATCAGATCCCCTGCTATCCTGTTGCTGGCCTTGGCTCGGGGTGCTCCCTGGCCTGGAGCACACACCCTGGCTCACTCCAACTCCCCTACAGGAACAGCCCCCTGTGCCTCAGGGCTCTTCTGGAAGGGCTGTCTGGGTTTGCCCAGCTCTCCAGGCAGGGCACCCAAAGCCTGAAGTTGGGAGAAAGCAGACCCCTGTCTCTGGTGGGTCTTCTAGGGGTCAAGGGCGTAAGTGGCTTCAGTCAGAGGGTAGAGCATCTGGAACAGCTGCAGGCACTCAGGTGAGAGGGGACACAGTGGGTCACACGGTCAGTGCAGGGATAGGATTGTGGGGATAGCGACATTCCCTCCATAGTAGGAAATGGCTCTGCCCACATGGACCAGGGGAGAAGCTGGACCCTGGGGAGAGGCAGAGGAACTTCAGGCCCCCTGCCTCCCCTCTGTCACCAGCGTCCTTCCACTGGGCCCTTCCCAAAGGTCAGTCCAGGATGGGGAGAGCAGGGGTGGAGCTGGCATCACCAACATCCCCTGGATGAGCCTATGGAGGCAGCTGTGGACAGCAGATGGAAGTGAGGACAGTCCAACCCCAGGGCCAGGAATGGGGAGCAGTGGGCTGGGAAGAAGCTGAATACATCCCCCAGGCACAGGGGCAGCTTAGAGAGGATACCCCCCACCACCACCAGGCCAAGGGCCCTGTGGTCAGCTCGTGGGCCTCTGCACTGTCCTGGGTGGCGCTTGGGCCTGGTCTTCCAGCTCCCTGTGGCAGCGGGACATGCGCCGCGAGGAGCCCCAGCCCCAGGCGTGGCCTCCTGGCAGAGAAAATGAAGACAAAGGCGCAGTGGCAGGTTTCTGTACAGGAAGTCGGATTATACATTTTAGTAACGGGCGGAAGAAATGAGGCATCGGGGCAACAGTGCAGGGGCCACAGGGAGAATAAGAGATCGAGAGCTGGGGTTTGGCGTCAATCTTACAAAGTGTATAAAGAATCTGTGTTTCTCTACAATAACAAAAAAACCAAAGGCTACAAGAGCGGTTGTATATACAAAACACGGAGATATTGCTTCACTTGCAAACAGGTTCCTGACCAGACAGGAGACAAGACAGAGGGGAGCACAGGGAGGGAGGGCCGGAGAGCGCGCTGCGTGCAAAAGGAAGGGGAGGGGGGAGAGGGGTCTTCTCCCAGCATAAATCTACAGGCAGGAGCTGGAGTCGCGCACACACGGGAGAGATCGAAGGCGTGTACCGGTGCTGGCTGTGCGTGGGGGAACGGGGGTGCCGAGAGCCAAGAGTGTCCGCCGGCCCTGGCCCCCTGGCGCCTTGCTCTTCGAGCTGATGCTCAGAACGGGGTTCTGGGTGGGGATCGGGGGCCAGTTGTCGGGCCAACTGGCCGCAGAGGGAGGGAGGTGATCGCTCCCTGGAGTCTGCCGTGGAAAATTGGAGAAGCCTGCTCGGTGTGCCCATCCTCCTTGCCTCTGGCTGGCCCTGTCCGTCCTGCCACCCTCCCCGACCCACCGCGATGCACACTGGGACCCAAGAAGAGCAGGTGCAGCAACCCGGGCTTCTAGCTTTCCTTGAGCAGGACAGCGGGTACCACTTGACTCCTGTTCTTCCCAGGCCCTGGCCAGCCATGCGGAGCTCGATGGGAGGGCAGGAGCCAGTCACAGAGGGACAGAGAGGGTGGGGCAAGGGAGCACAGAGAGGTGAGGGGCGGGCGGAGGACGAGGACGTGCACGCACGCTCGGACGAGGCGCGGGGCGGTCACAGGTTCTGGCAGCACTGCAGCTTGTTGGGTTTCTGTCCGTCGGTGGTGGGCGGCACGCTGATGTCCACCACGTTGTTGCCAGGGGACTCGTCATGGGCTGCGCGGTCTGCGATCTGCTTCTGTGACACAATGCGGTAGATCTCTGCAGGTGGGGGGGAACGTGGGGTGAGTGCGCTGCGTGCTCGCCCACAATGACTGTCCCCCTGCCATCTGGACCTCCCGCTCTCCGGGGAGCAGCCCCAAGGCTGAACCCAAAACCCCTCTCAAAGGCCCTGACTGTGCCCCCCATCGTGGCAGGGCAGGGGGAGACAGGCTCCCACCTGGTCACCCAATGTTGACTGTGTGCTCAGCAAGAACGGGACCCATGTCTGGTCACAGATGTACCCCCGGCCTGGCCTCTTGTCCTATATGATCAGAGGCCCCCTCCTCCCAGAATAAGCACCCAGGGGCCTTGGGGCTCAGTGTTCCCCTGGCTGACCAAGCTGGCTGCTCTCTGGTGGAGCCACGGCAGAGGGGCCTTGCAGAAGCTGGGTGGAAGGGGTCTCTACGTCCTGAGTGCCAGCAGGGCCAGGATCTGGCCTGATCCCTAAAGCACGCCACGTCTGTCCCGTGTCCAGACCGACTTACAGGTTTAAAGACTAAAGCTTCTCCGGCTGTGCTCTGGAGCATGCAGTCAGAGTGGCTGGTGCCCTTCCCAGGCCCCCCCACGATGGGCATATTGGGGTTACTATGGCCCCAGCCAGGCCCTGTGACCACCTGTGAGGATGTTCTTGAAAGCTTCTTCTACGTTGGTGGAATCCAAGGCTGAGGTCTCAATGAAAGACAAGTTGTTCTTTTCTGGAACAAAATGAATATGGCCCAGGTGAGCAGTGGTGGAGCAGGGGGGCGCTGCCCTGCATCCTTTCAGGGACCCTGCTTGCCTGCCCGCTTGCCTGGCCCATGAAATGAATGGTTGGGGCCAAAGGGATAGGATTGAGATGACCACACCTCAGGAAGGGGTAGCTGGTACCGAGGCCATGGCCACAGACAGAGAAGACGCCACGGGCCTGGGGGGCAGGGCAGCTGCCCGCCTTCCAGATGTTTCTCCAACGCCTCAGTCACCATCTCACTTTGGGGAATGTGGCCCCGGGGAGGCCCGGGGAGGCCCCCTGGCCACACCTGCTCCAGCCCAGCTTGACTCACCGGCAAAGGCACGGGCCTCGTCAGTGGGCACGGCCCGCAGGTGGCGAAGGTCACTCTTGTTGCCCACCAGCATGATGACGATGTTGCTGTCGGCGTGGTCCCGCAGCTCCTTCAGCCAGCGCTCCACGTTCTCATAGGTCAGGTGCTTGGCGATGTCATACACGAGCAGTGCGCCCACTGCACCGCGGTAGTACCTGTGGGGGCAGGGTGTGAGCCGGCTGCCAGGGCCCCCCACGACCCCCTAGCCCGGGCTCTATGGGCAGCAGCCCCTAAGCCCCCACACACAGAGCAGGAGGCATAGGGCCCACTCAAAGGTGGCCACTGCGGCCTCAAGGGAGACAGGTGTGTCCTGAGGTTCTGGCTCTGCTCCCCAGGTTCAGCTCAGGAATACGGAGCCAGAGGAAGAAGTCTGGGACCTGGGGTCAGAAGACACTCATAAAAAGGAAGAAGGAGAGAGCCACTGCTGGGCACAACCTCTGAGGCCCACCGTGGCTCGGCCAGCCTGACCACCAAGGAGACAGACGGCCACATGTCCACCCCGAAGGATTAGGGACATGAGAAGGTGACCAGGCTTTGGTGGAGGGAGTCCCAAGGACACAACTGGCTGAGGACCGCAGAGAGGTGACCCTCACCATGCAGCCAGCATCCAGAGAAATCAGAGCCTCAGAGAACTCCAGGGGTCAGAGGGAGCGAAGGACATGGCTACCCTAGGGTCACAGTGTGGCCAACACTGCGTATTGGTCTCCCCAACGGTCCCACAGTTCCTGGAGGTCCTGTCCCACCACCCTGGGCTGCCCGCTGTGCAGAGGTGTGCTCTCCCCTTCTCCCGCCCAACTCCTACCCATCCTTCAAGGCCCACCAGCCCACCGCCGTGGCTGCCTGCATTTCCCCAGGCCCGGCACTCACGCGGAGGTGATGGCACGGTAGCGCTCCTGGCCGGCGGTGTCCCAGATCTGCGCCTTGATGGTCTTGCCGTCCACCTGGATGCTGCGGGTGGCGAATTCCACGCCGATGGTGCTCTTGCTCTCCAGGTTGAACTCGTTGCGGGTGAAGCGTGATAGCAGGTTGCTCTTCCCCACGCCCGAGTCCCCAATGAGCACCACTTTGGGGGGCAGGAGGGACATAGGTGAGACTCTGCAGGCCAGCTTCCCCAAGCCAAGGCCCAGATACCACCCATGTGCACCTGCAGGACTGTCAGGGGCACCCTGGGTCTGCACAAACTTGAAAGTCAATGTCAGAGCAGTCGGAGCCATCCTGGAGCCCAAGGCACCACATTCCCTGGTGCAGAAGCAAACAGGGGCTCAGGACTTCTGCAAACACAGCCACTGTGGGTGGCGTAACACCCCAGCTGTCTCCAGTCCTTCGGAGCAGGGCTGCCCCCACTTCAAGGGCCGGACCCAGACATCTCAGCAGGTATGTCTTAACCTCTCTGGGCTGCCTTTTCCGCAAGAGGGGGACTCAAGGAGAAATGGCAGGATCAGAACTCCACAAGCACCCAGCATGCTAAGACAGGCTGGGGAGCGGTTATGACCAGTGTTCTTCCAGGTTCTTACCAGAAGGGTTGGTCTCCAGAGCTCTAAGTAACAGGAAATGAGGAGTCTCGCCCCCACGCCCACCCTCATGGGGAGCTGCTATAAGCAATCCCACATGCAGCCGTGGCACAGTCGGAGCTGGCTCATGCGGAACAGGAATGTGCCCTCTAGACGCAGCCATGAAGGCACAGAGCCTGCCACCCTGACGCCCCCAGAGGCAGCCCTTCCTGCAGAGACATCCGGAGCACGAGTCCTGAGCACAGCAGAGCAGGCCCCTCCAGCCTCTCCCAGTATCCTTCTCTCTAACAAGGTTCCTGCCCCAGCCAGAGAACCATTGCCCCAAGGGGCCAAGGCTCCCCAGGCTCTGTGGCAGGGACATTTGAGACCTCCAGGAGGAGTGTGAGCCCAAGAGGCTGTCCTTGGGCCCCAGGCACACTGAGTCTCATGTCTGTGTACGCACGGTGTGTGGGCCGCGCTGGCACCCCCGGGTGATGTGCAACGCAGAAGAAACAACACACAGCGGTCTGTCCAGACACGCCAGAGAGAAGCCACACGGATCCCCCACATGTGGATCTTGGGCTCTGGCACCCAGGGTGGGTCTGTCCAATGGGAAGACGTGGGGGCTGTAGGCGTGGTCACCCACAGCACCCGTAAAAAGCTCTTCCTCGAATGGATATGTGCATGCCCCAATTCCCACGGCCTCTGACCGCCTTCGCCGCCCCCACCCTGGTCCACACCAGCCGCGGACAGCAGCCGCGGGCCCGCGTCCTTGCCGTTACCCACAGCCAACCAGCAGGCTGTTTTCCTGGAGGCCACCAGAGGGCGGCCCTGGGCACCCCAGCCGGTCCCACCGCTGCTCCGCCCACAGCCCTCCCAGAGGGCGAAGTGCAAATTCACCCGCAGGCCCGGCCGGGCCCTCCCCACGCTCCCCCTCGCCCCCCCCCCGTCCCCCCCCCCCACTCTGCTGCGGCCACTGGGCCTCCTCGCCGGGCCTGGGAGATACCCAGGGGCGCCTGCGCTTCGCCGGCCCGTTCTTCCCCGGGTACCCGCCGGTGCCTGCCCTCCTCCCCGCCGTGCGCTCCCGCGGAAAGCCTAGCCCGCCCCCACGCCAGCCTTCACTTCTTTGTTTTCTGGCCATCCCGCCACGAGGGCGAGCGGCTCAGGCAATCCCGGGACCTGGTGCAGTTCCCCGCACACAGGAAGCATCCGATCGACGTCTGCTGGAAGAACAAATGCCAAAGTGGCTGGTGCAGCCTCCCAGGCCCACCTGCCTTCACACCGGGTAGCCGCCGGGTTACCCTCCTCAGGTGACTGGGGAGGAGCGGGCAGGCGAGGCGACCCCCAGGCCCCCGCACCCTCTCTGGGCTGGCTGCCTCACAGCCAAGAAGGCTGAGAACAAGAAGAACGTCTAAGGAGCCTGTCCCAAGAAAGCCCTCGATGGGCACCATGTCTCATAAGTCACAGGTGACCTTTATGGGTTAGAAAGCAGGCGAATCCCAAGCACAAGGCACTGTGGGCCCGTGCCTATTCACAGGCTCGCTCCGACCTCCTAGCCATGCTCACCAGACAGTGACTTGCCCAGGGCCACCTGGCTGGAAAGTTGGCCATCAGGATTTGAACCCATGCCTTCTGCGTCCAGGGCTGAACTCAGGGATCTGGGTGCAAGCCTCCTCCTTTCCCACCATCTGGGGCACCCTGGCCCCGAGTAGCTGGCAAACTCCTGCTCATCCTTCAAAATCCCTCAAGTCAGGCCTCTCCGCTCTCCTCAAACCACCATGTGGCCCGGCCTCTGTGACCTGCGATAACAAGACGTGTTCTCTGGTGACACCAGGTGAGCAATGGAAGACTGTGAGCTGACCTCAGAGAAAGGTGGAAAGAGGTGATGGACACGGGTCTGTGGCCCTCAACCACGCTGTGGGGCCCAGCACCCACACCCCCAACGCCTCACCTCCTTCCCACGGGGCCAGAGGAACCTGGCCAGGGCTGGAGAGGTTTGCTCACAATTCTTACACCCTCCGGAACAGAGCAGGAAATGAGCCAAGGGTCCCTGTCCTGTGGCCCCTCCAGCCCCTCCCGCCCTTCCCAGCCTCTAGCCTCAGGCAGCATCAACTCTGCCCTGGCCTAGCCAACAATCTCCTCAGCACCTCAGGCCAGGCCCAGCCCTGAAGGCTTTGTGGCTGCCTTCTCTGGGCCACCCCAGGAGCAAATGCTTGTACAGTTGGGGACACTCAGCCCAGAGTGCCCAAGTTGCTGGCCCTGCGTAACCCAGTGAGAAAGTGGAGGCCAGAGCAAGATGAGAGCCACCAGCCACTGCCCAGATGAACGGCGGGAAGGCCAGGCTGCTTGGACCCTCCCGGCACACGGCGCCCGACGCAGAGAGGTGGCCAGTGGGGCAGCGGCCAGGCTGGCCCCCCGTGCGGGCTAGGAATGAGAACAGCATTGTCCAAGGCACAAGTGACCCGTTGTCTTGGGGAAATAAAGGGCCCTTGAGGACACAGCCCGTAGAATTTCCACAGAAGTTGGTGGCCTCACTGGCTGGGAAACGGCCCCAATGGACGTGCCACTTGGCTGGCAGAGAAGGAGAATGCAGTTGGCAAAAACGAAGAGCTGGCACCTCTTAGAGCCCTGGGTCCTCTGACCTGCCCATGACAGTGTGGAACCCCTGGGCCCCACACTCTGACACCCAAGTGGGCTGAGTGGCCATCTGGGGGGGGGGCTGGCTTCCCTACCCCAGGCAGAGCAGGACCCTGTGTCTCCTCCAGGAAGCCAAGCCTTGACCACCCCAGGCCCCAGGGACCGGCACTTGAATGGAGCAGGGGACAGAGAGACGCCCAGTGCCGGGGCACAGGCAAGGCCACCATTTGCCAGTGGAGGAAGATGCTGTGCTCAGGTCCTTACCAGTGGGTCTGGTGGGGGCCCGGTGCAGGCTGGAGAGCCAGGAGGGTGAGCACTGGGGCTGGCCTGCTTCCTGGGGGCTGGCTGCTACTCTCGCCTCACCACCTTTCCCAAAAGGACAGTGGCACTGGGGAGGACAAAGCCCAGTGGACAAGGCCCTGGGTGACCACGGCAGCTCCCCGCTCCAACCCACATCCTCGTAGGCAGGATGAGTGGCTGGGGGAGCTCTCGGGAGTCCTTGGTGTCCCTTTGGACACAGCTGCTCCCACTGTGGATCCTGCAGCCTGGGCCACACCAGAGGTCAGGGGTGCCCCCAGGGGCTGATCTGTAGGCTGGGGAAATGGCCCATGGCTGACAGGATAAAATGTTAGCAGGAGGAACGTGAGGATCTATAATTAGGTACAAATAAACAACCTTTCTCCTGGGAGAGGCGGGAATGTGCAGGCAGGAACACAAACAGCATGTGGGGCAAGCACCCCAGGGGGATCTGTTGGCCTTGGTCTCAGAGGTCAGGGGAGCCAACGTGTGATGTGGCTGCCAAAACAACCAAGGCAGTGGCGGGAGAGCTAAAAGCAGGGCAGTCCGTGTCCCGAGGGAGAAGTGCCAAGGGAAGGCCACGGGGGTTCTCAGGAGGGTCTGGGGGACAGACCACGCCTCTATCTAACACTGTCTACCAGTGGCAGGTGATGTGTCCCTAGTGGCTTGCCTACCTGCTGGCTTCTTTCCTTCCTTATGTGCCAGACCCACAGAGTTTCCTTTTCCTGTTTCAGTAAAAAACTGAGGGGATTTCAAGAGAAATATGCGCAGATAGCACGGAGACCGCCAACAGGACATACGTGTAAACAGGAGGTCTCAGATGACCGCAGTCTGGGAAACACGGCCCTTGCGGGCTCGACTTTCACTCCTAACCCTGCCTGAGAAGGTCAGCAGGACACCTGCTGACTGAGAAAAGGAGGCTAGTGGGGGAGGGCAGCAGGGCAGGCAGCTCCTACCCCCCCCCCCCCCCCCCCCCCGCCTCCGTGCCAGTTGCTGCCACTGAAGCCAGATCTGTGCTTCCAGGAAGTGGACTCTGGAGATGAGTCCCAGGAAGCACACGGCCGCTCCATTGCCCCTGACCCAGTAACTGTACTTCTGGGAACATACTTCAAGGAAATAACCCAAAGGGCAAAAAGATGACTAGTGCTGGGTTATTTATAACAGCAGGCGGCTGAAAATAACAAGGGGGAAATGGCCATAGAAAGCTGGAGGTGACTACTGGGGGAAATGCCTCTGGCCCTGGCAGTCCACATACAGTGGGGTACCCAACCGGGACCTGGGGAACGGCCGCCTCTGGCCCCAGCTGCAGCAGGATGGAGTCCTGGCCACTTGTGGCCAGTCCCCAAAGCCCGGGCAGAGCTTCCCCCGGCTCTCATGTGATACCCCAGAGTGCTGTGGGCATCAGGGCCCTGGCCTGATACCTGCTGACCACACAGCTTCACCTGCCAGTGACATATGAGCCTGCATGCAGCTCCCCGGGCCCATGATGCTGCGTGAAAACTCTGGGCCTCTGTGTAGGCACTCCGCCAGCCCAGAAGCCTTTCACCACATGGACATCCCAGGTAGGGAGCGCGCCACCCCACTCTCCACATCCCCAAGGCCCAGGCTTCCAGCCCCAGCATGCGGGAGGATACCACAGACACGATGGTCAGTGATGGACATGGGCTGCGCTCCCAGGGGCAGTCAGGTTTCCCCAGTGAAGGGACGGTGCCAACAGCTGGTGTGAGAGCAGACCCTCACACTGCAGGCAGCAGAGTAAAGGTGCCTCAAGCGGGCCTAGGGTTAGCTTTCATGGGCAACCACTGTCAGCCAGGGAGCCCAGAACAGACCGCCCAGGACCTGGCCAAAGCCCAGGTTGGCACAGGAGGCACTGTGAGGTCAGTGACTTTTTTTTTCTTTCTTTTTTTTTTTTTTTAGATTTTATTTTGAAGTAATCTCTACACGCAAACTGGGGCTTGAACTTGCAACCCAGAGATCAAGAATTGCATGCTCTGCAGACTGAACCGGCCGGACGCCCCCAAAGCCTGTGACTCAAGTCAGGCCACAACCCCAGCGATGGGAGGAGTCTCCCCAGCTCCAGCCGCAGGGTGAGGGAGCTGGGCCAGCAGCAGTTGCCTGACCTGCCACAGCCGCACTGGAGGTTCCTAGAGCCCTCTGACCCTTGGGCAGGGACGATCCTCCAGCAGGTTGGCCGAAGCCCGGCCCATGGGAACGCAGGTGCGGGGGGAGGTGGTCTGCCAGGCTAAAGCCCACGGCTGACCTGGGTTCAAATCCTGATCCAGCATTTTTCAAATGTGCCCTGTCTCTCTGGGTCTCAGTTAACGGATCCACAGAGAAAAGAAGGTGGCTATTATCTCCTGAGCCCAGCACACACACTCCTCCCCCCACGCCAGGCGCCCCTCCGCACAGTTCTGGGTCAGCCCCCCCCCCATCCAGGATCCCCCCCATCACACATCTCAGCCCCTCGCGTCCTCTCGCTCTCCGGGCCCCGCCCCCAGGCGAGCTGCCACCAATCAGGACAGGCTCCTCCCACTCCGCGGAGCCCCACCCCGCGCACCCAGTTCCAGCCCACTTCTTGGACACGCCCTCCGCGCCTTAGCCACGCCTCCTGATGCCCCGCCCCCAGCACGGAGGCCGCTTGTTACCCAGCCCGGCCCGCCAAATGCTGGGGAGGCCCCGCCCCCTGGAGGCTCCGCCCCTAACGGCCTCTCCCACCGCTTGGGGCCCCACCCCCTCCGGGCCCCGGCCCCGCCTCGGCGCATCCAGGGCCCCCAGGCCTCCCTAGGCCGCCCGCTCCGCACGGCCGCGCACTGCAGCCCAAAGCTGGCCGAGCCCAAACTGCCCCGGCCTTCCCGGCTGCCTAACCGCCGGGCCCCAAGACTCGGGCTCCGGCCTGGGCCCAGCGGCCTGGAGCGCAGCTCAGCCCGCCCGCCCGCTGCCTCGCCGCCATCCCCTCGCCCGTCTGTGTCCCACCGACCGCACCTTTGAATAGGTAGTCGTACTCGTCGTCCCGGGTCCCCATTGTCCTGGCGCTTCCGGCGGGATCGGCGACTCCGCAGCCCCACCACAAACACCCGACGGGGGCGGAGCCGGCGCCGCACAGAGCGGCGGCTGGATCACCAATCAGAGGCGGGTGGCGTAGCGACGGGCACCCAGGGCAGCCAATCACAGGCGGAAGCAGAGCCTCAGGGGTGGGCACCGCCTGGGACCCACCCTCCTCGCCTTCGGTCTCCTGGAGAAAGGCGGAAGGAATGCGGACCTTTCTGAAGTGACGGCCGCGTCAGCCTATCAGAGGTGGACTCTGGAAGGCGGGGCGGAAGACTGCAAGAATGAAACAGATTGATGGCACGGGGAACCAATGAGAGGCTTGATTCAGGCGGTCCGGGAGTACCAGAGGACCTGTCCGGGAAGGGAAATGGGGCTACGTCCAGGTGATGTTACGCTATTTAACGTCCCGGTGACGTCATAGGTCAGTGGGCGCTGCTCTCTTTTCCCCCTCGCCGCCTCCTCCCCTCACCCACCTTAAAAGACCGTTTACAGGCCTTTGGGGGGGGGGGTTGGGTTTTCATCACTATATTTGAGTCATTAAGATACCCCTCTACCTCAATTTCCCCCCCGCTGCAGGATAGGAGAAACTAAACTTGATGAAATCTTTGGAGGCTAACTGGATTATCTCCCTAAAGACAAACCAAATCAACTTTCTGCTCTCTGTCATTAAGTCTTTTTTTTTTTTAAGATTTTATTTATTCATGAGAGAGGCAGAGACACAGGCAGAGGGAGAAGCGGGCTCCACGCAGGGAGCCCGACGTGGGACTCGATCCCGGGACTCCAGGATCACACCCTGGGCTGAAGGCAGGCACCAAACCACTGAGCCACCCAGGGATCCCCTGTTATTAAGTATTTAACAAATATTTATAAAGCCCTCCCTGCACGTCAGGCCTCTGCAGCACGATGCCCCCCTTCTCTATCCCCTTGCCCTGTTTTATCCCATCTCCCGCCCCGGAGGATTTATCACTACCTGACAGACTGCATATTTGTGGGGGCACCCGCCTGGCTCACTTGGTGGAGCAAGCGACCCTTGACCTCCAGGCCCTGAGTTCCGGCGGCACTTGGGCCCAGAGCGTATTTAAAAAAAAAAAAAAATGTACTTCTTTCTTGATCCATTCATGTCTTTAGTGCCCTGCCAACAGAACACAAGACCCATGAAGGCAAGAAGGACTCTGTCTGTCACGGCTGGTGCTGTGACCCCAGTGCTCAGCAACTATTTGATGGGTGATGAATAATGTAATCACTTTAACTATAATTGTAATTATTATAATTGCCTCGTGGACCTCACCCCTGTGTTTTCCAACAGGCATTCCAGACACTAATTTGGCCTCTTTTCCCGCATCCACTCCTCCTCCTGTGACTCCATGTCCCCCACACTACCCTCCACCTCTGTTCCCCCCACTGCCCATCTCAGGGCCAGAGGTCATGGACTCCTCTCTCTTCAGCATTTAGCCTCCTGCTTTTCCTGCCCTTCTTTCCTTCAGTTGTCTTGCTGTGTTCCTCCTCCATCCTACATTTCTGATCACTATTCACCCTCCCCCATCCCCACCACCTCAATCCTGGCCCCATCATCACTCCCTGGACCTGAGCTGTTGTCTGTCCCCAGATCTCCCTGCCCTGCCCTCACCCCACACAGTATGCTCTTTCCATTGTGGTCAGTCTTTTTTTTTTTTTTTTTTTAAATAAAGTAAGCTCTATGCCCAGCGGGGACTCAAACTCACCGCCCCAAGATCCAGAGTCACGCGCTCTACAAACTGAGAGGGTCAAGGGCCTCAATCAGAGGAGTCTTTTGTTTATTTATTTATTTATTTATTTATTTAAAAGATTTTATTTTATTTTATTCATGAGAGCCACACAGAGAGGCAGAGACACAGGCAGAGAGAGAAGCAGGTTCCATGCAGGGAGCCTATGTGGGACTCCATCCCAGGACCCCTGGATCATGACCTGAGCCGAAGGCAGATGCTCACTGAGTCACACAGGTGCCCCCAGAGGAGCCTTTAAAACATAAGTCAGACCATCTTGTTCCCCTGTTTTAAATTCTCTCAGTTCTGGGGCACCTGGATAGCTCAGTCAGTTGAGCGTCTGCCTCTCGCTCAGGTCATGATCCCGGGGTCCTGGGATGGAGTCCCCCATTGGGCTCACTGCTCAGGGGGGAGTCTGTTTCTCCCTCTCCCTCTGCTGCTACCCCTGCTTGTGTTCTCTGGCTCTCTCCATCTCTCTGTCAAATAAATAAATAAATAAATAAATAAATAAATAAATAAATAAAATCTAAAAAAATAATACAAATCTTTCAGTTCTTCCTTTAGTAAATCTTTACTGAGCACCTGCTAAGTGCCAGGCAGTGTTCTAGGTGCTGGGGATCCAGCATTGAAGAAGACAAAGTCCCAGCCCTCACAGATCTAGGAGTGTAATGGAGTGAGGCAGACAAGAAGTCAGTACACATTATGCACAAGATAGTTTCACAGTTGGAGGCGTGCAGTGAGGAAATGACTGGATCATGTGGTGGTGTTGCTCCTTAGCTAAGGACCCAGGGAAGGCATCCTGGGGGAGGTGGCATTTGCACTGTTTGGGGGAAGAGGAGGAGGTGCTGGGAACAGCATTTCTAGGGGGACACAACAGCAAGCAAGAGAGACTCCGATGAAGTCTGTTCCGACAGCCAGGTGGCTGTGGTGGCTGGAGCATGGGGTCCAGGTGTCAAGAGATGGGATGATGTGAAAAAGCGAGACTGGAAGCCAGACCAGAGTGGACCCTCCCAGGCCTTGTCAGCACACCCCTGGGTAGTTGGCTTGAAGCCCTGCCCATTCCTGCATACCTCCAGTTCCCTCTCCTGGCTTCCTGCCCAAATGCTGCAGCCAGGTGGGGCTATTAAATGGTTCCCTAGTGAACTTTACTTCCTGTCAAGGCTGCTAGACTTCTGCTTTCACTGTGCCCTCTTCCTGGAATGCCATCTCCCTCCCCCATCTTCTTTGTAGAATTTTCATCCTTCTTTAAAAACTGAGTCAAAAGCCATGTCTCTCTACCCTGAAGGCTTTTCTCCTGTCTGGGTCATGTTCTTCTGGCCCACACCCTCCCAGGATAGCTTATAGTGATATTAGTAATGATGAATAATATATATATATATATATATATATATATATGATGTGTGTGTGTGTGTGTGTGTGTGCTATGAGCCAGACACTGGAGTGCTTTTCATTTACTGCTATGTGAAATCCTTACAGCACCAGAAGAACAGAAAGGGGTGGGGTACCAGAGTGATCCCCCCTCCATTTTCCAGATGCAGGAACTGAGGCCATAGAGCTTTAATAGACTATCTCTAGTCAACCAGGAGAATAATGGGGCTGAAGAGCTCTGACTCGAGGTGGACGGGTCTGGAATCACATCCTGGCTCTTATTTGGTTCCCAGTCATCGTGATTATTCTCTGCATTGAGATGGAAGAGGTGGTGATGACAGGAGAAGGGACAGGGTTGGGGAGATAAGCTCTCTTGGCAGAGCTGGAGAATCAGGAGGGCATAGGTGAGGGAACCCCCTACCACCCCGACCTCTACAGATGGGACTTCCCACCAGTTCCAGCCACAGTGGGCTCAAGGGAGATTCTGCAAGCCCTCCTGGTACAAGACACCTCCAAACATGGAGCCTGGAGAAGGTCTGGCCTCCAGCTGAGAAGTTCATCACCCATACTCAGCCAGGACCCCAGGGAAATGACCGTGTCCCCAGCGCCGACCAGGAAGAGTCATGGGACAAGAAGAACACAGACTTCCCCAAGAGCACTTAGAAGGCATATTGGGAAGATAGGTTCTCCTATTTATTTTTATTTTTTAAAGATTTTTTAAATTTATTTATTCATGAGACACACACACACACAGAGGCAGAGACAGGCGGAGGGAGAAGCAGGCTCCATGCAAGGAGCCCGATGTGGGACTCGATCCTGGGACTCCAGGATCACTCCCTGAGCCAAAGGCAGACACTCAACCACTGAGCCACCCAGGTGTCCATCTCCTATTTTTTTTTAAGATTTTATTTATTTATTCATAAGTAGAATAGAGAGACAGAGACATAGGCAGAGGGAGCCTGATGTGGGACTCGATCCCCAGAACCCGGGATCATGCCCTGAGCCGAAGGCAGATGCTCAACCACTGAGCCACCCAGGCATCCCAGGTTCTCCTATTAAAACAGCAGCTGGATGGGGGCACTTAGGCACAGGCAGATGTTGTTTTTCCTAAACATGTGTCCTTGAGACAAGGTATCCCATTGTTCTAGCCACATGATATGAACGACAACTTTAGGCAGTGAATTAAAAAGCATTGAACCACATGCTGGGAAAGTCCAACCTTTTTCCTTTTTTTAAAAAAAAAATTAAGATTTATGCATTTATTTACTTGAGAGAGAGAGAGAGAAAGCACGTGAGCACACAGAGGGAGAGGGAGAAGCAGACTTCCCACTGAGCAGGGACCCTGATGTGGGGCTTGATCCCAGGATCCCAGGATCCCAGGATCCCAGGATCATGACCTGAGCTGAAGGCAGGTGCTTAAGCAACTGAGCCACCCAGGTGCCCTCTTTTTCCCATTTTTGAAGTATTATCTATCAAGGAGAGAGGTTTACTCTTTCTTGCTCATACCTCTTGAACGTTCTCTATCCCTCATCTCCCTTTCTTAAAAAAAAAAAGATTATTATTTATTTATTTATTTGAGGGGGAGGGGCAGAGGGAGAGTCTTTTTATTATTTATTTTATTTTTTATATTTTTATTTATGTGAAACACACACAGTGGTAGAGACACAGGCAGTGCAAGAAACAGGCTCCCTGTGGGGAGCCTGATGTGGGACTTGATCAGGCCTCAAGTCGAAGGCAGACACCCAACTACTGAGCCACCCAGGCATCCCAGGGAGAGAGAGTCTTAAGCAGACTCCTCCACGCTGAGTGTGGAGGGCTCAATCTCACGACCCCAAGATTACCACCTGAGCTGAAACCAAGAGTCAGCTGCTTAACCAACTCCATCATCCAGGTGACCCCCCCCATCTACCTTTCTTTCATTTTTAAAAAAGATTTAATTTATATATTCATGAGAGACACAGAGACACAGGCAGAGGGAGAAGCAGGCTCCATGCAGGGAGCCTCATGCGGAACTCGATCCCAGGACCCTGGGATCATGCCCTGGGCTGAAGGCAGATGCTCAACCGCTGAGCCACCCAGGCATCTGACCCATCTCCCTTTCTATACCGAGCTCTGACACAGGCTGAGAGCCTTCAGAAGGCAACAAGATCTGGCTAGAATTTTTCTTGCCCATGTTTTATTGTGAAAAATTTTTAAACATTTAGAAAAATGAAAAGCATTGTACAGAGAATATCTAGATTGCACTATTAACATTTTGCTATATCACATATCCATCTCTACTCCACCCACCCATCATCTTAATTTTGGTGCTTCTCAAAGAAAGTTGAAAATTTGGAGGGATCAAATGTATAGCATGGTGATTATAGTTAGCACTTGAAAGTTGCTAAGAGAGTGGATATTAAATGTGCTCACCCCACGAAAGAAATAACTATGTAATGTGATGGAGGTGACAGCTAACCGGATGGAGGTAATCATTTCACAATATACACAAGTATCAAATCAACACATTGAACATCGTAAACTTAGTGTCATATGTCAGTTGCATCTCAATATACCTGGAGAAAAAATAAAAATAAAAGAAAGTTGAAGATATCAACTTTCTCTCTAAACACTTCAGCATGCATATCATTAGTTAGAGTTCAGTATTTGTTTATGGCTCTTTTCGGTTTTGTTTTTTTTTTTTTTTCTTCCAAGGTGAAATTACATACAACGAAATCCAAATCTTAAGTGTACATTCACAGAGACAGAGGCATATGGAAGAGTAACCCACTTCTCTCAAGGTTTCACCATCACTGGAGAAAGCTGCCTCATGTGTCTCCTCAATCCTACCCATCTTTCCAGTATCAACCATTATTCATATTTTTCTCCCACTCAAAGTGATGGCCTCACTTTGGATCATCAATTAGAGGCCAACCTATCTGTAATGAGGAGGGACTTTGAAGGTAAGTTTGGTAAGGGCAGGAATCTTTTTGTTCACTGGAGTATCTCAGGTACTTAGTACCAGGGTTTGACATGTAGTAGAAACACAATAAATATTAGCTGAATATTTATTTGTTTGTTTGTTTATGTTTATGTTTATATATTTATGTATATGAAGCCAATTTTTAAAAACAAAGGATAATTTATGCAGATATGGTAAAAATGTGAAGAATTTACCCAAAATACTGCATTAATGTACACACTAGAGTTGTGCTGTCCATTATGGTGGTCATTACCCCTGTGGGGCTGTTGACTGGTTATATGGCCAGTCCCAACTGAGATGTGCCATAAGCATTAAAAAAACACTGGGTTCCAAAGATTTAATACAGGTGTGCCTCCTCAGTTGGTTAGGAGTCTGCCTTGGGCTCAGGTCATGATCTCAGAGTCCTGGGATCAACCACTATGTCAGGCTCCCTGCTCAGAGAAAGTCAGCTTCTCCCTCTGCTTCTGCCTCTCCCCCAGCTTGTGTGCACGCTCTCTCTCAAATAAAATATTTTTTAAAAAATGGACTTAGGGGCAGCCTGGGGGGCTCAGCAGTTTAGTGCTGCCTTCAGCCCAGGGCATGATCCTGGAGACCCAGGATCGAGTCCCACGTCGGGCTCCCTGCATGGAGCCTGCTTCTTCCTCTGCCTGTGTCTCTACCTCTCTTTCTCTCTGTCTCTCATGAATAAATAAATAAAATATTTTAAAACATTAAAAAAGGATTTAGTACAAAAAAAAAAAAGCAATGTCAACTATCTCATTAATCTCATTAATGACCTGTATATCACTCACATGTTGACATGGTAATATTTTGGTTATATTGGACTTAATAAAAAATCCTTTTTTTTTTTTTTTAAAGAGAGGTAGAGCATGTGAGTAGGGGGAGCTGGAGTGGAAATAGGGGCAGGAGAGGAAAAGAGAGAACCTCAAGCAGGCTCCAGGCTCGGCATGGAGCCAACATGGGGCTCAATCCCACAACCCGGAGATCATGGCCTGAGCCCAAACCAAGCGTCGGTTGCTCAACTGAGCCGCTGAGGTGCCCCAATAAAAATGTATTTCTAAAATTCATCTCATCTGTTTCTTTTTACTTTTTTTTTTTTTTTTTTGGAGAGGGCTGGGTGGAGGGGCAGAGGGAGAGAAAGAAAATCTTTTCTTTTAAGATTTTATTTATTTCAGAGAAAGAAAGCACACATACAGAGGGAGAGGGAGAAGCAGACTTCCTACTGAGCAGGAAGCCGGATGCGGGGTTGGATCCCATGACCCAGGGATCATGACCTGAGCCAAAGATACTTAACTAATTGAGCCACCCACACACTGAGAGAGAGAGAGAGACAGAGAGAGAGAGAGAGAGAACCTTAAGCAAGCTCCATGCCCAGCTTTGCCCACGTTGGGGCTTGATCTCACGACCCTGAGATCATGACCTGAGCTGAAATTAAGAGTTGGATGCTTAACCAACTAAGCCACCCAGGCATTCCCCTTTCTTACTTTTTTTTAAACTTTGTGTGTGTGTGTGTTTTTCCCTTTTCATTTAATGTGACTATTAGAAAAAAAAATTAAACGTGTGACTCGCATTATATTTCTCAGATGGCCGGATGCTAAAAAGTTCACTGTGATTCATGTATGTCAGTAATCAAGAAGGGGCTTTTATTTTCTCCACGAGTTTCCAGAAGGATTAAGTGTTTCAGTTTTTGAATATAAAACCTGACACACACATTGTGAAACAACGAACGAAGGGAGGAAATTAAAACCTGTTGTCGGGTGGTAGGACGAGCCAGTGTCGTCCTCAAAGGATCTGGGAGCATTCACCCTCCACCCTGGGAACGTATTTCTGTGGACTTTGAAACTGCCCACTTTTTAAAACAAACTGAAGAATAAAACAGAACAAAATGTTCTGAGGTTGCTTTTATTACAAGAATTCTGCGAGCTCCACCCGGACACCGCTGGCGCCGGCTCATCCCACAGCACCCACACACAAGGACACTGTGAGGGCGCTGGGGGCCCGCGGGAGCCCTGGTCCCCCAGCCAGTCAATGTGACTGAATCCTCCATCGAGGGCTTGTCTGGCTGCCCCCAAATGGTCCCTCTACGTCCCCGACTCCTCGGGCGGGCAAGAAATAGGTCTCAAAGCCCCTCGGTCTCACGCTTCCAAGGCCTGCAACCCTGCAGCTCTGTCCTCAGAGGGTATCACCTGCAGCCCCCCACCCGGAAAGGGGGCAACTCCAGTCATGAACTGCTTCTCTGTCCACGAGGCTCCAGAGGGCCCCTGTCTTGAGCCCCTGCCTGGGCAGGGAGTGGCCACATGCTGGGCCAGAGTCAGAGTCACTGTCCTCCAGGAGCCTGGCACCAGGCCCCAGTGAGGAAGCTAGGAGGCTGCCTCAGTTGCTGTGGGCTGGATCAGCATCGTGGTGGCCTGCAGTGGGTAGTAGCGGCCCCGCCAGGTCTTCCAGAAGATGCCCTTCTTACGCTGCTGCCGCTGGTGTGGGATGGAACGGAAGTACTGGCCGTTGAGGTTGGAATGGCCACAGGTGCCAAACCACCAGCCACCTGCCGGGGTCCAAGAAAACAGAACTTGGTCAGATGGGGGTCCTTGTGCATCTGCTGGGGCTGGGATGGAGATGAGGCCAGGTGTGGGACTTCATAAATTTTGGAGGGGAAGACATTTCTAATGATTGTCACACTGGGTCCTGAGGAACCCCAGGTGGTGACAAAGGAGTCTTGGGGGCTCTGGGCCCCCCTTTCCAGTCCTGTGACTGTGGCAAGTTACTTCTCTGTACCTGGTACATGGCTAATGTTTTTTATTTTTTATTTATTTATTTATTTATTTATTTATTTATTTATTTATTTATTTATTTGGCTAATGTTTTTAAAGACTTTCTGTGATCATCATCCAGTTTATATTAGACTGAATCTTACAAAATTACTAGCTTTCCATCATTTCTTGATCCACCAAAAGCAGTTTCATGCATTTCACTCTACAGGGCCTGGACTCTGTCTCCGATTTCATTTGAACAAGACAGGGTTTATCTTGGTGGCTTTGCCACAGGCCACAGCCACAATCCCACAAATGTCATTTCAAAATAGTGTTATAGAGTGGGAACTGTGGTTACACCCAGTTTTTAAAAAAGATTTTATTTATTTATTCATGAGAGACAGAGAGAGAGAGTCAGGGACACAGGCAGAGGGAGAAGCAGGCTTCCTTAGGGGAGCCCAATGCGGGACTCGATCTCAGGACCCTGGGACCATGCCCTGAGCTGAAGGCAGATGCTCAACTGCTGAGTCACCCAGGTGCCCCCTATACCCATTTTGAAGATGGGCAAACTGAAGGTGGGAGAGGGTAAGTCAGTTGCCTAAAGGCACCCAGCAAGTCAGCAGAGAATAGATGGGATTTGGTGTTAAAGGCAGGTCAGGGGAACAGTAAGGCGGGAAAGGGGAGGTCTTGCCCTTGGGGTGCAAGGCAGGACAGGAAGGGACAGAGCTTGCTCACCAGAGAGGCTCTTGGCACAGTTCTTGTCACCACGCAGGTCGTGGTCCTGATCCCAAGTGGAGAAGGGCAGGGAAAGGCCACTGGGCGCCACAGTGGTGGCCCCCAGTTCATTGGCCACAGGCGCCGTGAGCTGCAGGCTATAGGCCGTGTCCTCACCACCCAGATGGACGGGGAACTGCAGGGACTCCGCATTGCCCTCCCAGTCCTGAAGCTGCACAGCCAGGCGGCTGCCGCGGTCTCCCAGGATACGGTGCACCTTCTCCAGGCCCAGCCAGAACTCACCTACAGGGGAGAGGCCGGGCAGTGAGACAGAGCCGTCTCCATGGCCCTCACCCCCACCTCCGGGGCTCTGGCCCCACTAGAGACACCCACCGTGCGGGTCTCCAAAGCCAGCCTTGTAGGCTTCCCAGGGCTGATTAAAGTCCACGGAGCCATCCTGGCGTCTCTGAATGACAGTCCAGCCTCCATCTGCCCAGAGAGGTGCAACGTCATCAGGAGGACCCTGCTTGCAGGGAACCCTGACTCAAATCCGGAACTGCCTCTAAACCCAGAGAGGGCAACATTCCCCTCATTCATCCCAGCAGACCAGAGGAAGGTGGTCCAAGGTGGGCTGACCAGTGGGCCAAGGGGCTCAGCCTAGATGATTGTCCCAAGGACCCCACAGGGCAGGAGGGAGGGGGCAGCAGCAATCTAGAGAGCTTCTCTGGGCCCGCTGAACCTGGCTCAACCATGGGTCGTGGTAGGAGCTGCATCTGATAGACAACAAGGCCCATGACACGAAGCAGGGCACCCCAGGGGGCCAGTGTGTCCTACCTGCGGTCATCTTGCAGTTAACCAGGAAGGGCGGGGACCCCTGAGGCTGGATCTGGAACAGTCCACTTTGCCTCTCTCCTTCTTCAAACAGCTCTTGGCAGTCCCTGGGCAGCCCTGAAGGGCAGGCAGAGAGAGGGGAAGGGGGATTGAGGCAGGAGGATTCTCAGGAAACAGGCATGTCAGGGGCTGGGCAGTGGGTGACGGATATAAGGGGACAATCCTGGGTTCACCACCTGGACGGCTCACGTGCCAGCCACCATCCTCCCACACTGCACTGCCACCTCTGGCCACACGGCCCTCCTGGCACCACACACCCTCCTGCCACAGGGATTTTGCACGTGCCAGCCACTCTGCAGGGGACCCTCTTCTCTCAGGCCTTTCCTGCCTCATTCTAAAGATCCAAGCTTCCAGAAGAGATACCTTTCCAGACTCCCAAAGAGGAGCATCGAGGAGTTTGTGTGCTCCCAACCCCGGAGTCATCATCTGGTGGTCTCTCCTCCACTGACTAAGGATTCCCTGGGCCCAGGGACAGAGTGGCTTTGCCCACAGTCTGGTGTTTCACCGGTTTAACCAGCGCCCAGGCTGATCCTAGCCCACAGCAGGTGTTTAGTAGACTGGAGGAGTGAGTGAGAAGCTGGGCCAGAGTGGGGAACAGAGGGGAGCCCAGCAGAAGTGGCTCTGCTTTGTCAGGTGGGGCTTGCAGGGACAGAGGCCACACCTGGGCCCCCAGGTCTGGGAAGCATTGGGGCAGGACAGAGGATCCAAGGAGGAAGGGGGGGGGTGCGGGGAGGGCCCGGGGCGTGTTCAAAAGCTGGGGAAACCCTGCTCCCAGCCCAGCCGGGGAAAGTAGGGGAAAGGTCGCCCGGGGGAGGGCAAGTCCACGCTGGGGGGAGGGGGGGCGGACCCAGAGTGACTGGAGACCTCTTCCGGCCCCTGGAGCAGCTCCCCTTTCCCCTACTTTCCTCCCTTCCAATCCCCATGGCACAGGGCCAAACCACCAATGTGGCTTCCATTAACACCAGCTGTTTGTCTCTCCAGCTCTGACCCTTCTCCTACTTGGCAGGGCTGAGCCCCGGGTCTGGGAGTCCCCAAACCCACGCACCCCCCCTACCCCCACATCCCCCACCCAGACCCGCACCGGCCGGTCTGATCCCAGGGAGGAGGTTTGGGAGGGTGTACTGGACCCTCACTGGCCTGGGAATGGGGAGGAGGGGAGGGGAAGGGAGGAGGAGCCCTCAAGACAAAGGGCTGACAGCCAGCAACCAGCCCCAGGGTGTGAAAGGGGGGAATCCGAACTTTCACCCAGTTGGTTTCACCCAGTTGGTTGCACGCAGCCACTGATGCCAGGCTGGGGTGTGATGGGGTAGGAGGACCGTGAGGAAGCCAACCGGGTCTGGAGCCCAGAAGTTAGGGTGGGGGCAGAGGCACCAGGAGCTGGGAGCCTGTGCCAGACCCAGAGCTGGGGTAGGAGATTTGGGGCCATCTGGAAGGCATAATAAAGGACCCACAACTAATGATGGTGCCAGAGGCCCATTCTTTGTAGGAAGGGGAGAATGGGAAGGAGGATGATCAGGGACTTTGGGACCAAGAGAGGGGTAAGGGACTTGGATTTGTAAGAGATTCAACAGTGAGTGGTGTGTCTGGCCAGGGAGGGGGGGGTTCCCTGCCCTCGCCCCCCTCCTAGATCTACACTCCAAGAGACCATGGGGCAGCCAAGCTCAGAACCCTCCACTCCTTGGGGCGCCTGGGTGGCTCAGTGGTTGAGCGTCTGCCTTCGGCTCAGGGTGTGCTCCCGGGGTCTTGGGATCGAATTCCGCATCAGGCTCCCCCCAGGGAACCTGCTTCTCCCTCTCCCTCTGCCTCTGCCCCTCTGTGTCACTCATGAATAAATAAAAACCTTTTAAAAAAGAAAGAACCGAACCCTCCACCTAAGCAGCCATCTCTCTTCACCCAATCAGAACTCCAGGATCCCTAGTTAGCACCCTCTTGCGCTAGCACCCTCTTGCCCACTGCTGCACCCTCAGAGACCTTCAACCTTCAGGAAGGCGTCCTTGAGCAGTAACACCCCCTTCCCCACACCCCTGTAGCTCAGTTGGACCCTCTTCCCCAAACCCTGCCCCAGTTAGTGGCCAGCAAGGCATTGAGGGAAGCCACTGGCTTGCCAGGAAGGAGGAGGAGGTGGCCCAGCTGGTCAGGGGCAGGGATGAGCAGGGATGTCCCCCCTTCAGCCCCTTGCCAGTCAAGTGAGCCCATGGGAACCCAGAGCCAGGCCCTCTCTTCTTCCCAATAAGATGGACCAGACCAGGAGGAGGACAGGAATGTCAAGTGTATGTGTGGTGGCTGGGGACAGAGGATTGCCAAGGGACAGCCGAGGACTGGACACTCACGGTGCAGGCGGCTGATGTTGTGAGCAGGGCCCACGAGCTGTGCCATCTTGGGGAGCCTCTTCTTCCTGGCAGCCTTCGCCATCCCGTGGCCCAGATGCATGGGGCCCAGGAGGCCCACCTGGACAGGACAGAAGGAGGATACCAGGTCTGGGCTGGCGCTCCCTGCGCAACCTGACTGGTTCTCAGTCCACACCCACAGGGCGAGCTTCCACCTCCCGCCCCAGCTGGGGGGGGGGGGGGCATCAGGTACCTGGCTCTGCAGCTTCTGTATTTTCAGCTGCTGCTTCTCCAGGTGCCGCTGCTGCTGGGCCACCTTGTGGAAGAGTTGCTCGATCCTGCTGTTCTGCGTCTTGAGCTGAGTCTGGGAGAGCGCAGACGGCGGCCGTGAGGTCCGGGCCTCCCGCGCCCAGCCTCTCGGTTCATCCACCTGTCCGGCCCCCCAGCTCCCCCTCCCGGGGCACCCCGGGGGCATCCCCCGCCCGTCCACACTGTTTAAGACCCGGAGGGGAGCGCCAAGTACCTGCAGGCTGCGGAGAGCCTCGGGGGCAGCCTCGCCGCTGGGGCCCAGGCCCTCGGGGGCGCGCGGAGGCGCGGCGGAGCCCCCAGGTTCCTTGCAGGCTGCCCCGCAGGCGCCCAGACGCCGCTCCAGGGCGCCCAGCTGCCCCTGGGTGCGCTCCACGTGCTCGCGCAGCCCGTGGCCGAGCTGCAGGAGCCCGTGCGCCAGCACGTTCATCTCGTCCCAGGACGCGAAGCGCTGCGGCTCGGGGGGCGTCGGGCTGCCCCGCGCGCTCAGGAAGCCGGCGGCGGCGGCGTACAGCACCAGGGCTGCGGGGGCGCTCGGCGCTCGGTGCATCCTTCCCGGGGGCCGGGGCGCGGGCACTCGGGGGGCGCGGGGGCTCGAGATCCGAGGGCCGGAGACGCGGGGCGCCCTGGCGGAGACCCACTCGCGCGCAGAAGCCACCGGGGAGCCTCGGATCGCAGCCTCCAGCCCTCTGGGCTTCGCTTGGCCCCGCGACGTCCCCTTTTATAAGGCGGCGGGAGTGCTGGGGGGTGGGGCGTGCGGCCGGGGGAGGGGTTCCGTGAGCCCGAGGCGGGGTAGTTGAGGAGCGGGGGGCACGCCCCGGAGCGCAAGGCTCTGGCTCCTCCCGCCCGTTTCTGGGGCGCCTTCTCCGCCGGCGGTGGGAGACGTGGCTCCCCGCGACCCCCTCCCGAGCCCTGGAATCCCAAACCCCCCACGCCGCGCCCGCGCTCGGCGGGGACTGACGCTGCTGGCGGTACCCCTGACCCCCCCCCCAAAGTCAAAAGCCGGGAGAGGGCGGGGAGATACAAATAAGAAAGAGCCCTGGTGCGCTGAGTTCTGCGAGGCCGGGCGGGCGGGGAGCCCGGGACACCTCAAATCCCCGCCTCCGGAGCCTTCCCGGAGAGCAAGTGGCCCAAGACCAGGCTGGACCCTAGGGAGACGTCTCTGGGCTCTCACGCTCCTTCCCGCTCAAGGATCCGTCAGTCACTGCAGATGTGTTTGTGGGATCCTCGAACGTCTCTCATCCCACTTCCCACAACTCGGTGCCCCAGGGGTGGCCCAGGGTCTTTCTCGTTCGGGCACCCCCCCCCCCCGCAAGGTGCTCCCCCCCCAGGGCGCCCCCTCGACCCCAGGGTCTGCAGTGTCATCGATCTCTGCCTGTGTCAAAGTAGACACCTTGGAACAGGAAGGAAGAGGTGATACATGGAAAGAGGAGCTCTCCCTCATTCATTCATTCATTCATTCATTCATTCATTCAACAAACAGTCCTCTGTTCTCCGTTAGTAATTCCCAGTGGAGAGAGCCCAACACTGAGTCTGGGGTAGGGACAAAAGAAGGAACTAAGTGAGGCTGTGGGGCTGGACCATGTTCATTTCAAGAGTCTAAGCATTCTTCGAACTTTTTTTTTTTTAAGATTTATTTATTTTGAGACAGAGAGAGTGCGCCTGCGCAGGAGTGGGGGAAGGGCCGAGGGAGAGTTTTCCAAGCACAACACAGGCCTCCATCCCACAACCCATGACATCATGACCCCAGCAGAAACCAAGAGTCAGTCCCTTAACTCAGCGAGCCACCCAGGCACCCCCTCATTCAACAAACGTTGACCAAAGTTCTCCCCCTCCTGCTCCACCAGCTCCCCAATACTCTCTGTCAGGAAATTGAGGCAAAGAAAATCCTGCGTGCCAGGAAGAACCCTGGGCAGATTGGCTTGGAGCATGGGCCAGAAAAACATAGTTGACTCAGCAGGGCTCCGAGCCAGCTCAGCCTCTGGAATCTGAAACTGCATGCCCCGGGGCTGACGTGCAGGTCACCACTCCTACCCTCGGCCACCCGGGCCAGATGCCAGGATGGCTGATCCCGGCAGCAGTGACAGGCAGATGGGAAGGACAGGAAGGAAAAACTACAAGGAGTAGATCCAGACAGCCACCATCTGCCCTGGCAGCTCGCCTGTCCACCCCCTGGTCCTGGCTTCTCTCCGAGAGGGTGTTATAATTATCAGAGTGTGCTGTCTTCTTTCCTGGCTTCTTGCACTGAGAGAAGTCAGCAGTCAGTTTCTCAAGCTGACGATGGACTTTTCTTGATACACTTTGCAGGGACGGCTTCCTCTGTGTCATGTTTTGGAGGGTATAAAACATGCCAAAAGCTCTTAGAGGCACCTGCGGTGTACATGCTACAAAAGAATTTGTCCAGGGATACCTGGGTGGCTCAGCACTTGAGTGTCTGCCTTTAGGTCAGGGTATGATCCCAAGGTCCTGGGATCCAGCCCATAGATAGGGAGCCTGCTTCTCCTTCTGCCTGTGTCTCTGCCTCTCTCTTTCATAAATAAATAAATTAAATTAAAAAAAAAAAAGAATTTGTCCAGTGGCCGGGAGCTGGCCCTGAACTGCATCCTAAAAACTGCCCTGTGGGGGATCCCTGGGTGGCACAGCGGTTTAGCACCTGCCTTTGGCCCAGGGCGCGATCCTGGAGACCCGGGATCGAATCCCACATCGGGCTCCCGGTGCATGGAGCCTGCTTCTCCCTCTGCCTGTGTCTCTGCCTCTCTCTCTCTCTCACTGTGTGCCTATCATAAATAAATAAAATAAAATAAAATAAAATAAAATAAAATAAAATAAAATAAATAAATAAATAAATAAATATAAAAACTGCCCTGTGGAACATACCCTCTGACCCAGCAATGACACAGTCCCGCCAATCAATTGTTTCTTGAGTACCTACTGTGTGACAGCTACTGTGCTTGGGCCGTAGCAGTGAGTAAGATGCTCCTATCCCCATGTTGGCTACTCTGGTCAAAGCAAATAGCATTAGGAAGGTGACATGTATAAATAAAAAAAAAAAAAAAAAAAAAAAAAAAAAGGGATCCCTGGGTGGCGCAGCGGTTTGGCGCCTGCCTTTGGCCCAGGGCGCGATCCTGGAGACCCGGGATCGAATCCCATGTCAGGCTTCCGGTGTATGGAGCCTGCTTCTCCCTCTGCCCGTGTCTCTGCCTCTCTCTCTCTCACTGTGTGCCTATCATAAATAAATAAAAAAAAAAAAAAAAAGGAAGGTGACATGTGGCCTGGAATCTCTCACCAGACCAGGGAAGCAGTGAAATGGATTTTTTTTGGCCTGTCTATGGACAGTTGATGCTCCCTACTTTTGGGAGATTTCAATCTGGCACAGTACATGGTCTCATGGAGTGTCTTTCCTTTTTTTTTTTTTTTTAAGATTTTATTTATTTATACATGAGAGACACACAACCACTGAGCTACCCAGGTGCCCCGAGGAGTGTCTTTCCATCTGTGTCTCTAGAACCTAGGTTACTAGGGCTCCCTCAGTCAGTCTTTAGTAATCTCCAATCATTGGGTCTTCTGGTGGATGGGGCAGGAAGAGCTGATCTGTCGGAGGAGGGGCTGCTTATGGATAAAAGTAGCAGCAAACACCTACTGCGTCCATAACCTATGCCAGTATTGTCCTAAAGTGATTATGTACCCACTTAATCCTCATAGCAACTCCAAATGAGTTAGGAGCTATTATTATTCTATTTTATAGATGAGGACATGGTGAAAGAGAGATTAAGTACTTGTTCAAACTCTCACTATTATCTGAACAGAGCTAGGATTTGAAGTCAGGCTAGCTGACTCACAACTGTGTTCTTGGCAGCCGTGATATGCCACCTTTGTTCATAGTAGCCCGGTGGTCCTTGCCTCCTGAAATCCATGCCCTTATGTAGTTCATCCCTCCGGCTTGACCAAGAGGATATTATCGAAACGATGGTGTGTGCAACTTCCTAGGTTAGATCATTAAAAAAAAAAAAATGTGGCTTCTGTTTTGTTCTTGATTAGATCAATTGTTCTCAGAGAAGCTGGCCTCCATGCCCTGAGGACACTCAAGCAACCCTTCCGAGAGATCTACACTGCCTGATGAAGAACTGGACCCCTCCCCCAACAACAACCAACATCAGCTTGTCCACCCTGCAAGGGAGCTATTTATTTAGTTTTAGAGAAGGGGGGAGGGGGATCCCTGGGTGGCTCAGCGGTTTAATGCCTGCCTTTGGCCCAGGGCAGGATCCTGGAGTCTTGGGATCCAGTCCCACATCAGGCTTCCTACATGGAGCCTGGTTCTCCCTCTGCCTGTGACTCTGCCTCTCTCTCTCTCTCTCTGTCTGTCTATCATAAATAAATAAATCTTTAAAAAAAATCTTTAAAAAAAAGAAGGGGGGAGGGACAGAGGGAGAAAGAGAGGGAATGAAGGAGACCACCCCCCCACACCCCTCGGGGTTTGAGTGCAGAGCTGAACGTGGGGCTCGATCTCACGACCCTGAGATCATGACTTGAGCCAAAATCAAGAGTCAATGCTTAACCGACAGCCACCCAGGTGCTCCCAAAGGAGCTATTTTAGAAGCAGCTCCTCAGCCCCAGTCAAGCTTCCAAATGATGCAGCCTCGGCTGCATGGGTGAGCAACCTCATGAGATTCCCCCCCCAAACTGGAACCAACATACAGCTAACACAATAGGTAGCCAATACAATGGCCAAGGATTAATTAGTGCCAGCTCTGTGCCTGGTACTATTTGAAATATTTGACGTACATTCATTCACTTAGTACGCCCCATGAGGTTGGCATGGTACTGTTTTAATCGCCATTTTATTTTATTGTCCTAAAGATTTTACTTATTTATTTTTAAGATTTTTATTTATTAGAGACAGAGAGAGAGAGAGAGAGAGAGGCAGAGACACAGGCAGAGGGAGAAACAGGCTTTCCACAGGAGCCCTAAGTGGAACTTGATCTCGGATCCTGGGATCACTTCTGGAGCCAGAAGCAGAGGCTCAGCTGGTGAGCCACCCAGGTGGCCCTTAATCTCCATTTTAAAGAAGAGGAGGGGTGCCTGGCTGGCCCAGATGGTAGAGCATATGACTCTTGATCTCAGGGTTGTGAGTTCAGACCCTACATTGGGTGTGGAGGCTACTTAAAAAAAAATTAAAACAAAAAAAAATTAAAACAGAATAAAGAAAATTAAAGAAGCAGAGGAAAATGGGGCACAAAGTGGTCACATGACCCAAGAAAGGAAGTGTGAAGGGGCTAGTCTCCCAGGAAGACTGGGAGCTACTATTGGGCTTAAACCTGCTGCAACTGTATTCTGTTCTGAGCTCTGCCAGGGGCTGACAGTGGGTACAGTTAATGCCTCTCCCTTGAGTTACAATCCTGTCACCTGTCCACATTTGCAGAAGCCAACCCCCCTCTGCCATTTCTCCTCTAGGGCCCACCTGTTGCCCATGTTTTAGGCACAGACCTTGCATGATCCTACACTGGGCCCCATTGGCCAAACTCCCTGAAGATATGCTTGCTTTGATCTGCCCAGGATTTTGAATATCAGTAGCTTTCTAACGAAAATCTAGATTTTTGGTTTCCCTTGCAAAATTAGAAGGAGAAGCAAGGGTGATCTGCAGTCCTGTTCATTTGCAATGGGCCAGAACTGATGGGAAGT